TTGTACCAACCAGCTTCTGGACTTGGCTGCCCGACAGATTGCAATTATAACTGTGCACTGAAGGTTCATTTAATTGAGAATAAGGACAGGAAGCAATAAATATAGGTGACTTTCACCACAATCATTGTGCCGAGCTCCAAAGTGTTTTATTGTGTACAAGGGTACCTCCCAACGGCCTTCCTTATTGATTCCTCTTGCTGTTAGTGGAGGCAATTCCATTTCTACTCAGAGCCCCAACCAAAGAGCACGGAATGACATTAAATATTAATTTTTATCAATAAAGACGTTTGAACCCAGTTGAACCTCGGAGCATTACACCAAGATAATTTGTATTGTTTTCTCTTCCGCAGCTTTCTAAATGTTTGCGTGTAGATCAGGTTCGATTCCTGGACGGGGCGAAACCTCAGGTAAATTTCCTTACTCCCCACGCACCCCTCTGTTTACCCAACAGTAAGTAGGAACCTGGTTGTTAGTCGACTGTCGGATCACTTTCTGGGGGTAATAATCCCTTCAAAAGCAAAATGCGGTCAATCTATGACACTGCTGTGCGCAATTGGCTGCCCCTTCTCACCCACAAATATCCAGTCAATTTATTTTACGGTCTATTGTTATTCTGTGAAACGCTTTGAGACGGCTCGGAAATGTGATAAAGTGCCGCATCAAATGCAAGGATTATTATTGTTATCCCAGACAAAGAGGTTAATGGAACTGTCTGTTACCCACAAAGGTTCTCCTGATAGCCAACTCCTCCACAACACTATTCAATTATGGTGATGGCTTCAGTGAGACTGAAGTATAGAGCGTGGGCTGTTCTAGTGGATGCTGGAGGATCCATTGAAGCTGCTTTGCTGTCTGTAACTTGCTCAGACACAAATTGGACAAGGCCAGAGGAATAGTAAAGCGAAAGAGACACGGTAACGCACTTCATTGTCAACTGTTTTGTGGCAATTCACACAATCACTTGCGCATGTGCACAGTTGCTAATGGATTTTCCTAATAAATAAATAAATAAATAAATAATTAAACAAACAAATAATAGAGTATATCTGCCTAAAAATAATAATTCATCCTAATAATAATAATTGCATTTGACATAACGCCTTATCACGCCTTCGAGACATCTCAAAGGGCTTCACAGAATATACTGTAAAGTGAATTGACTGCGTATTTTGTGGGTGAAACGCGGCAGCCAATTGCGCACAGCAGTGTCCCCACAAACTGTGTTGGATTGAGTGACCAAATGATTATTATTATTTTTTGGAGGGATTATTACCCACCCAGAAAGCAAATGAATAAATACATATTAAGTACACTCTAAGGAGCACTGATTAATTTTAAAATGGACTTTGTTCTAATTATTGTTCTGGAAGAATAAGTGATTACATTACTAAACAGTCTAAGGCACACTTCTGCATATTTGCAGATGAATGGCTACTCATGTGTTTTAGCAGGAAAAGTAACAGAAAGGGACAAAATCCATAGAATTAACACATCTTCTATCTCAGTAAACTCTGCAAGACGCAGGAGGCATTTTACTCTGTTAAATTACAGATGTCTTGCGGAGGTGGATGTCGGACAATTCTTTGCCCGACTGATACTTGACGTAAAGCCTTAACCAGTGGGTTTGTTTATTAAAAAAAATCATTCGATTGAGTGACCAAATTATTATTTATTTATTTTGAAGGGATTATTACCCCCGGAAAGCAATTTGCCAAGCGACTCACAACCAGGTTCCTACTTACTGCTGTGTAAACAGGCAAGTTTCCTCACTCCACACACCTCTAAGATTTCGCTTCTTGTCATTGAAGCTCATTTCCCCATCATTTCCATTATTCTCCTGGGTACCAGGCTCTGCACATCTCCACACAGGTAAATCGTGTACGGCCCAGAATAGGAAATTGTTCTACTGGAGTTCTCTCAACCTCCTCTCCCTCCTACTCTCAGTCTATCACTAATTCATTCCACCATTTTGATTTCTTCTCCTGCCAAGGAAACGCCTCAAAAAGAAATTAAATGTTGATACGGAGCAATAATAGGCGGCAGCTAATTTGCACCGGACACGTCCTAGTGCAACACTGAGATGAACAGACAGTTTATTAGAATCTTTCCAGTGAGTTTGGAATGAGCGGAGAGTTACAAGGCAGCTTAACCAGGAGGAAAACATTTAAGTAGCTTGGGAAGGGGAGGGAGGGGGAAAGGAAGAAATCCCTTCATTCTCAAATTGTTGGAGCGGTTGTACTTCAGATAAAATGTTAAACCGAGGTCCCGTCTGCCTGTTCAGATGGATGTTACTGTGGGATCTTTCCTATTCGAAAAGAGAAGGAATTTCTCCCTCCCAGTGTCCTGGCCAACAATCCCCCAAATTTGCGTTCTGACGAAGGGTTGTGGACCCGAAACGTTGACTCACTTTCCTTTCTCCATAGAGGCTGCCCTGACCTGCTGAGTGTTCCCAGCGACTTCTGTTTTTGTTTGAATCCCCCAAATAAAATTGGTCATTCACTTCACGGCTGTTTGTGGGACTTTGCTGCGCACGAATGCCCCATTTGCCTACAAAACACACAGTCCCTGCAACTTACAGTACAGTATATCATGTGAAGCACTTTGGAACATCCTCCCAACATGAATGGCGCTGTATCAAACATGTAATGATTGTTGTATTATTATTATTGTTGTTGTTGTCAATAATAATAATTCCAAGGCAGATGGGATGGGACCTACACCAATGACTCAATCTGTAAATGGGTAATAAACTTGTATTTAATATAGAATGTCTTTTGGGTGATTTCGGATCATTAGTCAACATCGACCTTGCCTAATAAAATAATCCGACCCAAACAATTGTATGGTTTTTTTTTCTCTCTCTCCTCTGAATTTGTCCCAGTGATTAAACAGAGCTGAGTCACTCAATGCCAGGCTGTGCCATCCATTGCAGTTCACAATTTGCTTGACATTTCCCAACATGCGATGGGTTCATGTGAATCAAGGAAGCAGAGCACAGCTGGGTTGAGGCTGATAATTAGACGGGATCAACCCAGAATGGAACACTCACAGTTGTAATAAGGATCACCAGGAACAAACGGATGGTGTGATTAACTGGGCTCTCAATGTCACGTAGGACACAGAGCAGGAAACGAGTCAGGAATACTAAACTTGTCAATTGACGTCAAGGAACATAAATGAGCGGTTGCACAGGCACAGAAGGGGGTTTGTCCTGATTTAAATAGGTTACCGTAACTCTTACTTTTCCACCAGCAGCAGTGATGCGAGCAGATATTTATTTGTTGGTATCTTCTCTCTCTGAAACCCTCACCTGACACAACAGACCGATCAGAGAATCGCTCTATTTTTCCCTTGCGAGTGACCTGTTCAAACGATCAACTTGGTTTGCTTTTGTAACATACCGTCTTTTAAAACACATAGAAAATGTACATTTCTAAAAAGATAAACTTTCTTTGAAGACTAAACCAAATGTTTGGAGTCTTCAAAGCCCGACTTTGGTGAAGACCATTTAATTGAGCACAAAAATAATTTCTTTAGATTGGAACAGGTTTATTCCAGAGATCCGAAAGTGGTGCCCAATGCCTCGTGGATTCCTCAATTTACTATTAACAAAAAGAATTATTATAAACTGTTCTTTCTATAACTTAGAATCATAGTCTGGAAAACGTGAAGATTTTGGCTTTGGGTCATGCTTGATCAGGCGTCACTACCAACTGCTACAAAATGCACAGTCACTACACTTTACAGTGAAACACTCTGACGGGTCATAGAAACAGGAGTAAGCCGTTCAGCCCCTCACATCTGTAGCGCCATTCTATTAGATTGTGGCTGATCTGCACCTCAACTCCAATTACCCTCCCTTGCTTCGTATCCTCTTGATATCCCGACCTAACAAATATTAGGGTCTCGAAGACATAAGGTGCTTATGCAATCATTGCAATGATTATTCTTATGATTTGTTTTATGCTGGACTAACTCGCCAGCACCTGTGCGAAACACAGAGCGTTTTCTGGTATCTCATAATGAACTTTCAATCACACGGAAGGTCTAAGAGATTGGCTGCTTTAGTGCGGAGTTTTATTGAGCTCCTGCTGTCCTGATAAACACTCTGGTTTACAGGTTTGACTTGTGGGACCTGCAATGTTTCCAGCTAAATGGAAGCGTTGCTGCTGTGTGACCCGGGCAGACCGCCTGCCTCTCTTCTGGGAGGAAAGAAGAGAGGAGGAATGGGGGAAAAGAGGAGAGAAGGAGGGAGAGAGGACAGAGAGGAGGGGGGAGAGGAGGGGCGGCGGGGGGTGGGTTGGGGGGAGGTGAAGAGAGAGAGGAGGGGGATGAAGAGGAGTGGGGGGGTGAAGACGAGGGGAGGAAAGAGGAAGGGAGGAAAAAGGAGGGGAAAGGAAGGGAGAGAGAGTATAGGGGGGAGACAGAGGAGAGGGCGGGAGGGGGAGCGAGGAAAAGGGGTAATGATGCCTCACACACTTTTAAACCCATTCATAACAAATGTAAATGCTTTCAACATTGCTGTACTTACCCCCTCTTCTTGAAAACACCAACGGGGTGAAACCCACCTTGTCTTAGCCGGTTAGGGCCATTTTTATAAAATATATATTTAAGACCGTGCAGAACTGTGGAAATTTCTGAAGATGGGGTTGGGAAGCTCGTTTTCTGCAGTTGCTAGAAAAAAAGAACGCCTTCAAAATGTTCCTCGATTGGGCGAGACGTTCAATGCTAAGACGCTTACACACACAAAAAAAGTCTTACAGGCTAAGAGTAGGTTAAATTTCAGGCCCTCTACATGATGCTGGTGAACATTACATTAATGTACATTAAAACACACACACAGTACAAGATTCTGGACAAACGGACTCACCCTTAGCAACTGATGTCGATTTTAGTGAAGATTAGAATATTTTATTTACCTATTCGTGTTAAATACATTGGCACTTTACTCTCTAGGATATATAAAATAAAAGTTGAAAATAAATTAAATTAGATTTGCCGGTAAATGAGAGAGAGAGAGAGAGAGTTCTACCTTAACAGGAGATACAGGTATTAGTTTTAGAAGTTTACAACGGTTGTGCTTTTTTTTTGTAAAGTCGTTGATGTCTCTTGCCCTTCTGCTCCGACTGTCCTTGGCATTTGGGTTGGCGGCTATTCGGTGGGGAGCCGGTAAGAGTTTCGCGCAGTTCCAGGGGGAAACTTGGGATGTAAGTGGGAGCGAGAGCGGCGAGATACAGGAAAAGGAGAAGGAGGTAAAGAGTCTTGTGTTGGGAACTGGCCCAAGACTGTTCTGTTCTGCAGTAACGGGAATGACCAGGGCAGGACGGGAAATTGCCAGATTGCTCATCTTGACTTCTGGTTGATGCTCCGCTCAGTAGGTGGTGTCCCACTTAAAAACCAACGCTTGCCTCGTTTAAGTCAGGCCCTCCATCCAGCCCGCTCCTTCCTCGGAGTAATAGTACAACGTCAATCAGCGACGACAAAGAGTCGCACTTATATAGCGCCCTTCACACAGCGGAGCGGGGAGATAGCGTCTCAAAGCCTGTGTCCAGTCAACAAAACGGTCCGTTCCAGTTGGATCTGCAGCATTGATTCCCACACATGGCACAGAAGGAGGGAGGGAGAGATGAGAGAGAGAGAGAGAGGGAGAGAGAGAGAGTGGAGGTAAATTGCACTTAAACAGGGATTGTCGCTGTAGGTGTGTATTGTCACTGCTCACACGTCCCGCCTGCCTGCCCGACCCGCCCTTACGTGATGACGCTGCGTTCGCAGTGACCGTTCCTGGAGGAGGAGGAGGAGGGCCTGCCGAAGGCCGGGTGCATGATCTTCTCGGTGATGTAGGCCACCAGGAGGCAGATGATGACCAACATGACGCAGATGGAGCCGCCGACGGCCGTCATGGCGATCACGATGTCCTGCATGCCGGCCGGCTCCACCACAAACTGCAGACAGTCCTCCTCCACTCGGCTGCCGCTGCCGTTGCCGTAGACGGACTGCAGGCATATCCTGTACTCCACGCTATCGTGCACCTCCCCGACCAGATAGTCCCTGCAGCTCAGCCCCAGTTCCACATTGTCGCATTGGAATTTGGTGTAGATTCCGCTCCAAGTGCAGTTCAGGCGGAAACCCCTGAGGTTCAGCAGGGAGGACGGTCGCCACTGCAGGAACACACTGCTGTTCCCCATCACATTGGCCACCAGAGACCGCCAGAGCGATACACCCGACAGTCCCTCCTGTTGCAGAGGAACCCGCTGTCCCTGGTCCTGAAACACACTCTCCCGCTGCTCCCCGCGCCTCGGCCGTTCACCAGCACCTTGTAGGCGCACTTAGGGTCCTTTGGGGCTGGGTCTCCTGCTGCGTCTCCATCAGGCTCCTCGGCTCCAGGAGCCTCTCCTCCCTCGTCCCTGCGGGGACGGGGGCGCCTGGTGTCCCAGTCCCCGTGGACCCGGAGCCGGCACTCACACACCCGGAGCAGGACCAGGAGCAAGGCATTGAGCAGCAGCACCCACAGCAGCTTTGGCATTTTGTGAGGATGGCTGGTTTACAGGCAGCAATGTTAGTTAGCCATTACATTACGCACACACACACACACAATACATTACAACACACACACACACACACACATATACACTCACTCACTAATTGTTCAGGTCCACCAGCCTTAGTTAGCTATTAAGAGACATTGCACACATTAAAAGACATTGCACACATTAAGAGACATTGCACACATTGAGAGACATTGCACACATTGAGAGACATTGCACACATTGAGAGACATTGCACACACATCCCACACACACACAAATGCACTCACTCACTCATTGCTCAGACCCTTCTCTCGATTGCCCCATCGTTAGGCGATCCAGCCCCCACTCCCAACAAAAGGAGAGCAAGAGAGGGGTGGGGGGGGGGGGGGGGAGAAAGGCAAAGCAAGGCTTGGGTTTGGCTATGAATTGCCCAACATCAATCAACCTTTGCCTAGAAATTCCAGCTGCTGCCTGGAACCCTGAGCATCTTCCACAAGGCAACAGCAGCAATCCACACACCCAGACACTGCTTTAACTTGTTACAGAGAGAGAGAGAGAAAAAAAATCCTTCCTTTCTTTCCCCCCTTCTAATGATGTCATCCTTGACTTGGCTGTCCTTGGGCTGAGAGGAGGAGGAGGAGGGGAGAGAGAGAGAGACTCAACCACATAGCTCTGTGGGGTGGGGGAGAAAGGGTTGGAAGGGGGAGGAGAGGGAAGAGATGCAGTTGCTGAGCCAACCTCTTATCTTTCCACTCACTATTTCTATTGCATTACAAAGAAGCACTGGCCAGTGAGGAGCCAGACATGGGAGGGAGGGAGGGAGGGAGGGAGGAAGGGAGGCTAAATGGGTTTGCAATAGATTTTTCGATTTAATACAAGACCGCACATGGGTTTCGCGTCTCTCTGCTGCTTGCGTCGCTATCTCACCTCGGATCCTTTTCACGGGTGCGCTGGTGCAGGATAGGAATAAGAACAATAATAATCCTTGCCTCCGATGTAGCGCCTTATCACGTCCTTCGAGACGACTCAAAGCGCTTCAGAGAACATACCGTAAAGCGGATCGACAGTATTTCTGGGGCGAAAAGCAGCCGCCAATTGGGCACAGTAATGTCTCACGAACAGCGGTCGACTGAGTGAGCGAAATATTATTTTTAGTTACTTATTTTTAAAAGGGCTTTGGAAAGAAACGGGAGGAATATTAGAGTGGGGGAGTGAGCAGGGGAATATGATTAGATTGGCTGACGTGGAGAAAAGCAGCAGTGCAGACTCAGTAGGTCAGATGGCCTGTTTCTTTGATGTAATATTATACAATGCTTTATTTTCTCCCACAGAAACCACCCCCCACCCCCCCGCCCGAATGGCACAATATTACAAATATACGACAGATAGAAAAATTTAAACAGAGGCAGTTACAAAATTTTATTTCAAGTGCGGGTGTGTGTATATAAAAATATACAGAAGCAATTTGGTTTCTCTCACAAATGAGTAATACGGTATATACAGAATATCAGTACAATTTCATAAATGACCTTAACTTGGTAAAAACAAAAGACTGGAAGCTGTGTATCATAGTGCTGCATGATCGGAGGGTGTGTGATCTACGTTACAAGAGACGCAGGCCAGAGTGAAAGGCGCTATATAAAACCAAGTAATTGGTACTGCGAAAGGTTTTCCTGCGGGTAGTGCTGTGGTGCAGAGTTCTCAAGGCAGCTCAGCGCTAACGTTCTGACACTCGGTGACCCTCCTAACCTCGCCAGGACCACCAGTGATGAACACTCGACTGTGCCTACACTCACCCCATTCCTCCCCGGCTCAGCCTCAAACCGATAAGCCATCCGAGAGGCTAACCCGCAGGAAGGGCGCTCTGAAGGTAAAACCCGCGTAAAGTCTGATCTGTATAAAACAGTATAATCGTTCCAAGTCGTACGTCTGCCCAAGTCCTGTTCAAGAGTTTACATTCTATGCAAGTTTGACGCAAGTCATCCTTCGCGTAAGTCGTATTAAATGTCTGGCCCCAACCCACGTGACTTACGTGAGGTTTACTGTTTAAATTCAAGTTAATTGTTGGTCACTTCACCGCTTGGCAGAATTTTATGTCGTGGTCACAGAAACGGCGTCTGTCTTGGTCGCTAGGACTCCACAACGCCCCTGTAAGATGGCAGTCTCGAGTGGACCCGGGTCATTACCAGCAATCCCACATCTCAGGCCTTGGAGGGACGAGAGTAGAAAGATCCCACGTAAAATTATAGGGATCAGGGCAGGGCAGGAGAATTGAACGAACAACTTGCTCTGCGAGAGACAGCGCAGACATAATGGGCCAAATGACCTCCTTCTGCACTTTTCTACGATTCTATCTATAAGCCCTATAAAGCGCTTTTGAGACTTTGCGTACTCGACGTGAAAGGCACTGTATCAAATGCAAGGATTATTATCATCTCGACCATTCAATTGGGGGGCGGGGGGGCAAATAGGTTTAAATATTACAATTCCCATCAGGTACGAAAGAAACGCTCAGCATAAGCAGCACGGAACTGTCCATCTGTCCGTTTGCTTCAATCTCAAACTGCAGGCGACATTTGGACAGTCTGCGGCAATAAACGAACCGTAAAAGATTTCTGCCTATGACAAGTCGCTGCCGATCGCTGCGTACAAAAAAAAAAACACGACACGCGCCAGAAGGAGCTGATGAGGCCTCGAGCTAAAGGAGCCGTACAGAAGGTCACGACCACAGTGCTACACACTGCTGCCTTGCAACAGGAACTTTTTAAACCTTGAACAATAATAATGATGATGATAATCCTTGTATTTGATACAGCACCTTATCCCGTCGTTGAGACGTCTCAAAGGGCTTCGTGGGATACACCGTAAACGGTACCAGGTAAGTCAATTAGGGGGCCAGGTTTAGCAAAGGTTGGGAGGGGGGGGGGCTTTAGAAGCTTACAGATTGTAAGAGAAAGACTGGAGGACGAGAGCCCTGAGGTTCTTGGAAATAATGACTTAAGAGAAAGCAGGCAAGAAGGCAAATGGGATTTACGGCATTTTTCACACAAGTTCTGGAGTACAAAAGATGGTGTCTCTCCTGTTATTATCGATCGAGTGCTGGTCAGACCTCGTGTAGAGAACAGCGTTCGGTTTTGGTGGCATTCCAACCTTAGGAAGGATATACTAGGCTCGAAGGACATCCAGCGATGATGCTTTACCAGATTATTTCCTGGTGCTGAAAGGGTTTAAGCGAACAGTAAGTGGCTGGGGGAAGACTGGCCTTGTGTGTTCCTGTTTTCCTAGGTATCTTAAAAGAAGGAACCAGTGCAATAAAAGGTTTCGGTGTGACTAAAAGGTGTCTCTCGCCTCCGTTCTTAAGATGAGGAGTTTGAGTTGCATGAGCTACCTCGAGAGGCAAGAAGGGGGTAGCGACGGGGAGAGGGGGGTCCGAGAGGGGAGCACTTGTGGTTGGTCCAAGCAGACAGGACACCAAGCCATGGGACATCTGTGCACTCGGGACAAGTTCAAGCGCAGTAAGTGTGACCCGCCAGCTGGGATGCGACAGGTACGTATCGCACAAAGGAGGAGAGAACTCAACGAGTCAGAGTTTAAAGCCTCGTCACTCAGACGGTGGACAACTTAAGCAAAGCGCCTATTAATGCAACGCAGCCGAACCCACTGAATTGAGATGCGCGGAGGACTTGCTAACGTCTCCAATCGCTCGGAGAACAACGTCTTTGTCCGTTCCGCGATTGAGCCGACCCTGTAAGTCGCGGGCGGGCGGGCAAGCCTGGCAGAATTAAACGCGGTTCGGGAGAGTGAATCGGCAGCGATAACACGAGCACCTTTCCTCAAATAGTCACGAGCTTCTTCCACTATAATCCCAACTGCTGACGAGAGAGAGAGAGTCAACGAATCGTTCACCCGCTCGCTGGCTCGACAAATCCCGCTCCGGTTTGAGCTCAGCGGTCCGCGGCCTTTACTGACTTAATTGTCTGAGATACCGGCCTCGGATCCTAGTCAATGAGATTGTTGTCATCCTCGATTTCCCCAGCGTGGTCTTCCTGCCTCAAAAAAAACACAAAGGAACAGTCAGAGCACCCACTACCCAGTCAAAGGCTACAGACAGACCAGACCGACCGACCCACAGACAGAGGACAGTTAAAAGATGTGCTTCTGGGATTATTGTAAAGTTCACAGCACTCACGATCTCAGCCTCCTGATCTTCCTGATAGTTTTCCATTCCCTCATCTCCATTTTGTCCTGCTCCTTCATGACCCTGCGTTGCCAAAAAGAAAAAAAAAAACACGAAAGAAAATAAAAACAGGAACATTCACGTAGGGCCTTTCACATCGAGCTAACGTCTTCGAAGCCACGTAGGGAATACATTAGAAATCGACGAAAACCCACAGAGTTCAAACCAAGAACGATTCACAGTGAATTGACTTTGTTGCAGCTTATCCGGGGGAAAGAGCGGGACAGCTGCGAATGCCGGGAAGGAAATGGCCTTTTTTACTCACCAGGTTTTTTTTTTTTTTTTAAAACCACCTTGATTTGCCGGACATCGAGTTCAGAGACGGACACACGTTCACACAAACTTGGCAGTTAACGTGGGAAGCCGAATCCCAGTGCAAATGAACTGGGACTCAGTTAAGACCCGGTGATGGGAGGCGACGGTGGAGCAGGCTCTCTGGAAGGACCAGGTCAAACAAGCTGCAGGTTCTGCTCACCGCGAGCCCAGGATCTTACACTGACCTTTGGTTCCTGCTTCAGGAAGAGGTCGGGCTCCTTGCCGGTGTCCAGGGCGCCCTTGGCTGCGAAGCTCGGCTGCTGCTGCTGTTCCGCCTCCTCAAACTCGTCCTCCCCCTGGTTGTTGGGGTCCTGAGCCGGGTCCTGCTCCGCCCCAGGGATCTGCAAGAGAGAAACCCCAGGAACCAGCCCGGCCGGTGGGAGAGGGGAACGAGGTCAGGCGGCATCGCTCCTCCCTGCCTTCGCGCCACCTCCTGCCAACTCTCCCACCCACTTCACGTGCCCCACCCGCTCCCCCTCCCCCTCCCCTCCCCGGGTGTTTGACACTTAAATATGGTAATCCCTCTGCCTCGCTCGCTCGCTCACTATCTCCCTCCCCCCTCTTCATTAATTCGGTCACTCGCTCCACGGACTGTTTGTGGGACGCTGGTGGGCACAATTGGCTGCCAACAAAATTCACAGTCAATGACTTGCCAGTGTATCCCGCGAAACGCTTTGAGACGTCTCGACGACGTGACGAGGCGCTGTGTCAAATGCCAGGATTATAATGATTACTAACAATAATAATAACAACAATAATAATAATCCCGGCGGCGCACGGCATAGTGTGTGTGTGTGCGTGTGCGTGTGCCACAAACAGCCGTGGGTTGAGTGACGGCATTGTTATTTTACACAGCAGGCAAAGGCAAAGCGGCTCAACTCACAAGGGGTTCCTGCACGATTGACCCTTTCCTGGACCCGAAGTTTCTCAGCAAAGGTTTCTCGTCTGGTTCGTCCAACTCGTCCTCTGAAAGGCCAGAGCAAAACTGGTTCTGAGTGTGGCTGAGCCCGTGCGAGTGGCAGAAAGAGGTCTCCGCCACCAACAGGGGGCAGCACTGTCTCACTCTCTCTCTCACTCACTCACTCACACACACACACACACACACAGAGAGCAATGAAGACATTTGGATTGAAGATTAGGAACTGGCTGAATGGGGCCGAATGCTCTTCGTCCGTGCAGTCGCTTCTCTTCTCTGGGAAGAGTGATGTGTCAAGAAAAGCTGGTAACACGACACACGGGGGCAGGTTTCTCTCGCCCGGTGACTCGGAGGCGAGAGCGCTACCACTGCGCCAGACTGATACAACAAACAAACAAACAAATAAATAAATCAATAAAGACTTTAAATGATGCCAGACCTATATCTAAATCCTCGTCGTCGTCTGACTTCTCCTCCGCGGGCTCTATATTGGCCCACTGGGCGTCCCTGTCATCTTGGCCTCTCGTTCTCTCCAGGTCCATCAGGTTCTGCCCAGCTTGGCCTCGCCGGCTCACATCATTGATCACTTCATTCCAGCTGTGACACAAAGAGACACGATGGAGTGGTTCAAACTGCCGGCATCACCCACGGTGACTGCGGCCGAGAGAACATGTCCCACGCGGTGAGAATGCCCCCGGCTCCTCGGAACTGCATCCCACAGTCCCCTTCGTCTTGCTCGCTCCCTCCCTCGCCTCCTTCAAAGCACGTCTCAAGACCCTCCTCGTTGACCGCCTGTTCAGCCACCCTCCCATAACCACCCTCCCTGCCATCCATCTCCCCCAGCCCCCCCGCCCCCACAACCACTGATCCCAACCCCCAGCTCCGGTCCAAATCCCTGACTGTCCAACACCTTGGGACGTCTTCCCGATGTGAAAGGCTCCGTGTAAACGTGTCGTGTGCAGCAGAGGGTACACACCTCTTCAGTTTCCCTCGGTTCTCAGTCTCGCGACTGTCTGGCCTCGCGTCACTGACGATAAAGGGCTTCGGCCTCTCTCCGGCCCTTCCCGCCAGCAAGGGACCTTGCGGACTGGCCACATCGAGCGTCTTACCCTCCACCACCAGCTCAGGCTTTGTTCCCTGGATTAAATGAGAAGCGAGTTTCGTGAGAACGAGATTCGTTGGAGCTCCCCTCAACTCCCAATTACCAGTGAATGCAACACACACTCCCTTCGAGGCCTGGTCCATGGCTAATCCACCTCAATACCTTCCTTTTCCATCGTTCCCCACAGTCACCTTTTCTCCCCCAACCCAACGCCCCCCACCCCTCTCCGATACCCAAATCCCAACCCGCAGCTCGGGTACAAACCCCCAATTGTCCAGCGCCTTGGGGATGTCCTGCTGACCTGAAAAGTGCGATGACCAAAAAGTGGTGACACCATTATTAAAAGTCTTAAAGAAAATGATGATTTTTTTTCCAAGATAACAGGGCAGATATCACGACTTTTTGGTCACCCGTAAACGCAATGCAACTTGGTTGTCGTTTGGTATTGTTGGTTACCCCAACCCCAGATTCCCCCCCACTCCCCGGGGCTGGTTACCCTCCCCCTTCCCCTTCCCCGGGGGCTTGTCTAAGACCAAGACCGCCCCCTCACCCCGGGTGTACAAGCAGCCTCACTGCGAGACGCCACGCTCACTAACTCACCGTGGCTCCTGGCTGCAGGCTGTTCACCGTCCTGGTGAATCGAACCACACGATTGACGCTCTCCTCCTGAGAGCGCGCCCTGGGCCCGTGCCCGGCCCACCCCGCCAGGCCTGGACCCTGACCCCGGAACGCCGGATGCTCCGGGGCAATTCCCTGCGGGTTTCCGTCTCCTCGGTCAGGGGGAGCCGGGAATGCCTGCCCTCCAGGAACCAGCCTGTCCAACGGACGTGCAGTCAATTCCTAGGCAGAGAAGCAGCCGGTGAGAGTGCAGATCCCTGATTCAGTCAAACTGTGTGCGGGCAATTGGCTTTTGTCGCATTTCGCCCACAAAACACACAGTCACTCCACTTTACCGTGTATCCTGTGAAGCGCTTTGAGACGTCTCAAAGACGTGATAAGGTGCTGTGTCAAATGCCGGGATTATTATCATCAGATGCAAGGAATAATATTATTGTTTTTATATGCAAAGATTATTATTATTATCATCAAACACAAGGAATAATATTATTATCATCAAATGCAAGGATTATTATTATAAACCAGATCAGGCGGCAGCCGGAGAGCTTCTGGTGAGTGCATTTATCAAAGGATTTATTCTGTGTGGAAGGATTTATTCTATTCCACACACATACCCACAAAAAAACTTCAAGGGTCATCAGCTGGGAAGCAGAGAGGCTCATAGAAGCAATTACATTTACAGAGTCATGGAGTTCTCCACTGACCCAGTTAGAGATTTAATACAAACAGGAAAGCCTCCAAACCACTGCTTGTGCTGATTACAGTCCATCCTGTCGGTTTATGTGCATAACATCACGCAGCATGTTACAGCAGCTAAATGTGGCGTCAATATCATCTCTAAACGAGAATAAAGTAAGTAGTTTTTCTGCTTGAGCTTGACAGACAATTGCTGTAGAGCGTAGTGACTGCGTATTGGCCAGTGGAACGCAGTACTAATCACCAGCACAATCTCGGAGGCATCGTTAGCCTGGCTCACCAGGAGAAACTCCAGCCTCTTACAGAGTAGTGGTAGTGCAATGGGATCACTCACAGGATTGAAACGGAGAAGGCAGTTTACCTGACGAGTAATTTAAAAGGCCGGAACAGAATTGCGGAACTACATTTCCAACCGTTTTCATCATCAGAGGAAACCGCGACTGTTTTGTGGGGAGGGGGGGGGGGGGGGTCGCTGCTGTGCGCAATCGGCTGCCGCGTTTCGCCCACAAAGTACACAGTCGCTCCACTTTACAGCGCGTCCCGTGAAGCGCTTTGAGTTGTCTCGAAGACGTGATCAGGCGCCGGGTCAAACGCCAGGATTATTAACATTATTGTTATTAACCGTACCTTCTGCGCTGGGACCTGCCAATGGTTGTTGCCGGGAACCGGGGGCTGCCCTCTCAGGGCCTGGTTCTCTACCCACGGCATTGCAGCGTTCTGTGTGATCCTCTTGAAGCTTGGCATCTTGTGCAGAGCATCCTTCAGCTGCCTGAACTCCTCCGCCTGGGCCTGGGACACGACACCAATCACTGCCGTCAAGTCAGTTCTGACCACAGGTCACCCACCCGATACACTAACTCCCTTTCCTCTCTCTCTCCGCAGACGCTGCCTGACCTGCTGCCTGTTCCCGGCCACTTCCGCTTTTTTCATTCCCACCCATCAGTAGTTTGGTTTGCTTTGGTTTGTCTTAAGCAACGCGATGGGTTCGGGTTGCGTTTAATAAGAGTTTGTGGACGGGGACGATCTGCTCGTCTCATCGGTTAATGGCCAGTCCCCGGCTGAGGTTTTATTCACCCGATAGCAATACCCTGAAGTGACATTTGTACCGTTTCTGGTTTTGCCGCTGTTGGGTCGGGGGGGATCAGGGGATACGGGTCAACGGAGGGTGATTGGAGTTGAGGTACAGATCAGCCGTGGTCTTATAGAAGGGCGCAACAGGTTCGAGGGGCTGAATGGCTGTTCCCATGTTTCTATGACTGAATATTCACCGACTCCCAACCCCCAGCTCCCAACATCACACACAGCTCCCCCCCTCCTCCGGTGTGCAATCAGATTCCCTATTAGTACAAATGTAGGTTTTAATGTTAAATACCAGGTCTCAATCCACTGGTTGCTAAGTGATGGGAGGCGTCGTAACTCATCATCTACCCGAAACAACTCGTTTTACCGCCTGCGAAAGCCACTGCACGCAACACGGCCACTCGCCTCCGCTATGATCACCCCACGCAAGATCACTTCGTTCACAGCTTCCCCTTTAATGCCCCTCACTGCCGTCTGTCAACCCAACACTGCAGAATCACTCACACACACCCCCACACACACACACAACACCCCCACACACATATGCACAAACCATCCACCCACACACACAAATCCCACACTCTCGCACATGGAACCTTTAACATCCAACTGAACAGACACAGACTGGTTCCTCAGTTTAACGTCTGATCTGAAGGGCCGCGTCTCTCTCAGCGCTGCCTGGGAGGGTCAGCCTAGACCGCCAGCTCAAAGCCCCGAAGTAGGGCTCGAACCCACAACTTTCAGACTCGTCGGCAAGAGCGCTGCTGACTTGAGCAGCCAGAATGACACCCGGGTGAGACCCAGGAGCTGGGAGGCTCGGGTGTGCTGCGGCCCCTCACCCCGGGCTGTACCTCGGATTGCTGTAGCTGTGTGTGGACCTGCTGGTGAGCTCTCCTCAGCTGCTTGCTCTCCTCCTTCAGGAGGGACACGCTATCTGCGGAGCGAGGATAAGTCGCGTCAGAGGAAGCGAGCGGTCACCGTTCGAAGCTCCTGGGGCCGAACCCGATCTGGAAACCGCGTCTGTGCAAAGACCTCTCGAGAAGAAAGGTTATCGAGGCATTCGAGCGCGATTCGATCGGGCGCCTCCCGTGGAGCAAACGTCGCGCCTCAAAGCGCTTCACGGAGATAATACGTTGCCAAGTGGATTGACCGGGTATTTGGGGGGCAAAGACACGGCAGCCAATTGCGCCCATCGCCCTCCCACAAACCGTCGTGGATTGAGTGACCACATTTTTGGTTTTCATTTTTTTATGGAGAGGTTATTAACCCCCCCCCCACCACCCTCCCGGGGAAAACCATCCACCAATCGATTAACAACCGGGTTCCTGCTTATTGCTAGGTAAACACAGGCAGGTGTGGGTGTGTGTGGAGTTAGGAAACTTGCCTAGTGTTTCGCCCTGTCCTAACCCGCCCGGGAATCGAACCCGGGTCCTCTCGCTCGCGAGGCGCGCGCTCTAACCACTACTCCACCGGACTCGTATGAACGTGCGTTAATAACGAGGCTGCTGAGAACCTTGTAAGTGGCTGATCTCGGCTTGCTTCTGCTGCTGGCTCTGCGTGTGATGATCCAGAGCCTTCCTGTGCTCCAGCTTCAGGCTGTTGTGTTGCAGCTGTAAATCCTGTAGCTGTTTCCTCACGTCATCCTGTTGGCTCTGTGCGAGGCGAGAGAGAGAGAGAGAGAGGGAGAGAGAGGGGGGAGGGAAGGTCAGATTCCTGGCTCAGCTCAAAGCAGCGGTTTAAACCCCCTCCCCTCTTCCCCGACCCGACCCTGTCCTTCTCCCATCACACACGTGGTTGCGTTTCACTCACAAAATACAGTCGCGTTGTGTATCCTGCGAAACGCTTTGAGACGTCTCGAAGACTTGATAACAATGCAAGGAATATTGTTATTATTATTGGGTCCAAATCCCTAACTGCCCAGCACTGAGAGTCACCCTCCCGATGCGAAAGGCACGGGGGAAAGGTCACTGTACCTAGTCCTCTCCCCCCTCCTCCTCCCTATTTCCAGGAGATGAATAACTTTCCCAGCAGACGAACGCTTCAAAGTGATCCCAGGCTTTATTTAATCTAGGAAATGCCCGACAGGGAATGAATGTCCCGGTCACAGCAACGATTGGAACAGATCTGGGCAGTCCTGAGTCTGTCAGTGATGTGTTGACGATGCTTTTTACACTTGCCTTCAGTATCTTGTGTTGTGAGGACAGTGCGCTGTAGCGGTTCATAGCATCCTGCTGTGGAGAACAGTTCACGTTACATTAAAAAAATAATAATAATAACCCTTGCATTTGACATAGCGCTTTCCACGTCTTCGAGACGTCTCAAAGCTTCACAGAATAGACCGTAAAGCGAATTGACTCTATTTTTGTGGGCAAAACCCGGCAGCCAATTGCGCACAGCAGCGTCCCCACAAACAGTCGTGGACGGAAGTGGCCCAATTATTATTGTTTTCTTTTTCTTGAGGGATTATTATCAGCCGTGTGTGTATGTGTGTGTGTGTGGGTGGGTGGTTGGAGGAAGGAAACTTGCCCGAGGTTTCGCCCTGACCCACCCGGGAATCGAACCCAGGTCCTCTCGCTTGTCTCTAACCACTGAGGGAGGGGTGGGGGAAATGGAAGGGTTAAGATGAGGGATGTGGGGTAGACAAAACTTGGGAGCCAATGCTTTAGAATAGACTTTCACATCCGGATTTGCTTTTATTTTACCGGCAAAACACTTTATATCGCATTTTACTTTTGGCAACTGTGCTTTTTGTTTTTCTGGCCGGAAAGCGCTCGGAGACTTTCACTTGATGCGAAAGGCACCAGGTAAACGCCAGTCCGTGTTGTTAATTAAACGGGAGCCGAACTAAGATGGGTTTCAGTTTCGGGGGCTGTAAACATTTTGGGGATTAGTGAACCTCAGGTCAGGAGTGTAGGGAAGAGGGAACAATAGCTACGGAAAAGTGTCTCCTTACCTTTTCTTTACTCAGAGCTTCCTGGGCTTCCAGCTTATACACCAGAAAATCTACAAATAAACAAAGACACTTCTGCAGGTTCAGTCTGTAACAATAATAATATATAATCCTTGCATTTGATATCGTGCTTTTTCACGTCTTCTCAACGTCTCAAAGCGCTTCACAGAATAGACTGTAAAGTGCATCGACCGTATATTTGTGGGCGAAACGCTCTCACTGACCTCCACGGTGACTACTTTTATTAAATTCAACCTGGTCACAGCCCTGAGGACAGTTGTCTCTTGTGATCCCACACCCCCCCCCCTCTCGAGACTTGACTCTTTGATCGCCCTTTCGGTCATCGCTCCCACCCCCCCCCACCCTCGACAGTCTTTATTAAAAGTTAAATCGTGTCGTGTCTTAAAAGTTCTCTCCGAGACATCAGGTTTTGAGGCTGTTGTTCCTCAGAGCTGTGAGAACAGACAAATGGCAGCTGTAAGCCACGGCTTCGCGCGATCTCTCTCTCTCTCTCTCTCTCTCTCACCTTCTTTGGTTTTTTTGTGGTCCCCTCTCTCCTTTTGTAAAGAGCGTTCCAGCCTCGATCGATGTTCGTACACAACTTGCAAGAGAGGAGACAGGGTTAGGGTTAGACGGTGAACCCACACCGGGCTTCTCTACCTCTCGCTCTTTCTAAAGCTTTCTGTGACGATAACAACAGCAGCAGCAGCAGCAGCAGCAGAGACGTCTCTGAGCGCTTCGCGGGACACGCTGGGAAGTGGAGCGACGGTGTGCGTTTGTCAGCGAAACACGATCCTCAAGAGGGAAGGAATTCCTACTTGGAAATGCACACGTCACAGACGGTCAGAAATAGACAAAAAAAAAAAAACTAAAGTAAACTCTGTCGTTTTGTTCAGCGTTATCTGAAAACTTTTCACCGACCGATCGACCGACCGCAGTAAGGAAAAAGGATCATTCTGTGAAGCAGACAAAGCCAGATTCCCTCCTGAAGTTTGCTAAATAAACTTTCCTGATCTCCTGGATCCTATTTCTTTTCTCAGTGTTAATTCCCCCCCCGTTCGCATTTCACTTGGGTCTTGAGACGGGGTTAGCTTGTCTGTCTGTGTGTGTGTGTGTGTGTGTGTCCCCCTCACCTTGTGTATCTGTGTGTGTGCCCCCCCCCCCCCCTGTGTGTCTGTGTGTGTGAGATCCCCCCCCCTGTGTGTGTGTGTGTGTCCCCTGTCTCTGTGTGTCTCTGTGCCCCCCCCCCCACCTTGTCTCTGTGTGTGTGTGTGTCTCTGTGCCCCCCCCCCTTGTGTGTCTCTGTGTCCTCCCCCCCCTGTGTGTCTCTGTGTCCCCCCCCCTGTGTGTCTCTGTGTCCCCCCCCCCCTGTGTGTCTCTGTGTCCCCCCCCCTGTGTGTCTCTGTGTGTCCCCCCCTGTGTGTCTCTGTGTGTGTCCCCCCCTGTGTGTGTGTCCCCCCCCCCCTGTGTGTCTCTGTGTCCCCCCCCCCTGTGTGTCTCTGTGTGTGTCCCCCCCCTGTGTGTGTGTCCCCCCCCCTGTGTGTCTCTGTGTGTGTCCCCCCCTGTGTGTGTGTCCCCCCCCCCTGTGTGTCTCTGTGTGTCCCCCCCTGTGTGTCTCTGTGTGTGTCCCCCCTGTGTGTGTCCCCCCCCCTGTGTGTCTCTGTGTGTGTCCCCCCCCTGTGTGTGTCGTCCCCCCTGTGTGTCTCTGTGTCCCCCCCCCTGTGTGTCTCTGTGTCCCCCCCCCTGTGTGTCTCTGTGTCCCCCCCTGTGTGTCTCTGTGTCCCCCCCCTGTGTGTCTCTGTGTCCCCCCCCCTGTGTGTCTCTGTGTCCCCCCCCCTGTGCCCCCCCCCCCCTGTGTGTGTGTGTGTGCCCCCCCCTGTGTCTCTGTGCCCCCCCCCCTGTGTCTCTGTGTGTCCGCCCCCCTGTGTCTGTCCCCCCCTGTGTCTGTCCCCCCCCCTGTGTCTGTCCCCCCCCTGTCTCTGTGTGTGTCCCCCCCCCCTGTGTCTCTGTGTGCCCCCCCCTGTGCCCCCCCCCCCCCTCACCTTGTAGCTGAGCGGACACGGTCTCCTGTTGCTGTTTGTATTTCTGAGCCAAAACCTCAGCGCTCCTCAGGTTCCCCCTCAGGTCACTGTACATATAAACCCCCAAACCCACTCCCACCAGAGCCACAGCCACAAACCCCGTCTGCCACAGCCCCCTCTGCCTCCGGCAGCCCCCACCCCCCATCGCCAGACAGCCCCCAGACAGCCCCCACCCCACAGCCAGACAGTCACCAGACAGCCCCACCCCACACAGACAGCCCCCACCCCACAGCCAGACAGCCCCCACCCCACAGCCAGACAGTCACCAGACAGCCCCCAGACAGCCCCCACCCCACAGCCAGACAGCCACCAGACAGCCCCCACCCCACAGCCAGACAGCCACCACCCCCACAGCCCCCACCCCACAGCCAGACAGTCACCACCCCCACAGCCCCCACCCCCCACAGCCAGACAGCCACCAGACAGCCCCCACCCCCACAGCCCCCACCCCCCACAGCCAGACAGTCACCAGACAGCCCCCACCCCACAGCCCCCACCCCCACAGCCAGACAGCCCCCACCCCACAGCCAGACAGCCACCAGACAGTCACCAGCAATCACCCCCCGAGGCTGAGGCTGGAGTTATCTTCCCCTCCTCTCTCTCTCTCCCTCACTCCCTCCTCACTCTCCCCCTCTCTCCCCCTCCTCTCTCTCTCCCTCTCCTCTCTCTCTCCCCCTCCTACTCACTCTCCCCCTCTTCTCTCCCTCCTACTCACTTTCCCCCTCCTCCTCACTCTCTTCCTCCTCACTCTCCCCCTCCTGTCTCCCTCTTCTCTCTCCCTCCTCTCACTTTCCTCCTCCTCTCTCTCCCTCCTACTCTCCTCTCTCTCTCTCCCTCCTTCCTACTTCCCCCCTTTGCTCTCCCTTTCCTCCCCCTCCTCTCACTCCTTCCCTCCCTCCCTCCTCTCTCTTACTCACTCACTCATCACTCCCTCCTCCCTCTGTGGTCCAGCAGATCCCTTGTGTGTGTTTGAGTGAGTGAGTGAGTGATGGAGAGAGAGAGAGAGAGAGCTTCACAAAAAAACACACCCCCACAGCCCTCCTTCCCCCCCAAACCCCTCATCTCACGTTAACTTGGTACATTTTTAGGAAGTGGAGTAATTGGCACTGACATTGACCAACGTGTCTCTGGGTTTTTCCTGTCAATTCCACCCCAAAAGCCAATGGGCTGAGCCACCAGAGGGGCGGGATGTCTATGGACAACCCAACCAGAGGCTTCTGTCTGTCTCTCTCTCTCTCTGTGTGTGTGTTCCTCTTGTGTCTTCGAGCTGTGTTTGGCCACAGAAAGTGGGACAACCCCCTGTGCCCACAGCTGATGGTCTCAGGAGGAGTTGGGCAAAGCCGCTCAGAACCTTCCCCCCCAAAACCCCACTGAGCCGCCAATGCGCTTCTCTTGAAACTCCCCACTCCCCACTCCCCCCCCCATAGCATCCTCTCGCCTCCTTCCTACCCATTGGGTAGAGCCAATTCAGGATCCTTCCAAGAGCCAACAGCGTCCATCTCCCCACCCCCCACACCCCCCCCCCCCCCCCCCCACCGCCGCCCCTTTTCTTCCGCCTTTCTTTTCCTTCCTCCTTTCTTTTTCTTCCTACTTTTCCTTCCTGAGAATACCGCAACTGCTTTTGGGCTGCAACTCTAAAGCCAATGACAATATTTTCCGCTGAGGGTCCATCAAGCCATTGCTTCCCCCACCACCCCCCCCCCCCCCCCCCCCCCCCGCCCCCTCTCTTGCTGCCTCTATTAATAAAGGCTGGGGATTCAGATGGAGAAATGTTCTGTGTATGAACAGTAATATGAACTCCCATTGCTGTGGCCGTGTGCTAAAGTACTGGTTTCTTGGTGCTGCCAATGGGTGGTGGTGTCTGTGTGTGGTGGGGTGTGGGGGGGAGGAGAGGGGTGTCATAAAACAAGCATCAGAATATCCAGACCCCCCCCCCACTTCTGGCATCCAGCCCCTCCCCCACTGTAAATAAAAGTTTTTTTTAACTTGTATGGGACGAGATTAATGCCAATAAACTTTGCCTTCGACCTATCACTTTGTTGAAACGTCCCACTGAGCGCTTCACAGGGTTTTATTGCAAAGTGTAGTGACTGTATATTTTGTAGGCGAAGGCGACAACCAATTTGCACACAGTAAAAAAAAACACATAGATCAGTCAAGTTAATGGTTACCCTCTGAGGGATGATTCTCCCTCCGCTCTGGTCATCTACTGTGCTTCAGATGAGACGTTAAGACGAGATTTACCGTGAAGTGTAGTGACTATGTTTTGCAGGCAGACGCCGCAGCCAGTTTGCGCAAAGGCAAAGTCCCACGAACAGCCATAAAGTGAATGTCCGTTTTTTTCTCTCTGGGGGAGTTGTTGGCCTTAGGATGAGATGTTAAACCAAGGTCCCGTCTGCCCGTTCTGGTGGAGGTTAAAGGTCCTGAAAAGAGAAGGGAGTTTCTCCCGGTGTCCTGGACAATAATCCTCCAAATGAAATTGTTCACCTGTTTCAAGACAGTTTGTGGGACATTGCTGTGCACAATTGTGCTTCCGTGTTTGCCACTCCAATTCACAGTAAATCCTCCCAATGTAAAAGGTACTGTACCAAATGCAAAGGTTATTATTATTATTATCTGCCTGTTCAGGTGGAGATTAAGCGGCACTATTCGAAAAGAAAATACTTTTTTTTTTAACCTGTACGTTAATTCATTTTTTCCAAATCAGGATGAATACTCCAAAAAAGACAAATACCCCAATATGGTAAGAAAATAAATATTGCCATAGGTTCCGTAAAATTACGTGTCAAAACTTTACAAATTGAGTTACTGCTTTTAAAAAAAACCAAACGCGAGTTGAAGTCTCTTTGCCTGACGGGGAATTGTTGATGTGAGAGTCGAGGCAGTGGCCGAGTGCGTGGGATTTGCTCAGCGCTAACGGGCTGCCACTCGCGGTGTCAGCATCAACTAAGGTATTAATTGGTCTGTGGGGCAGGGTAGCGACCAAAGGGATTCAACTGTGCTCCTTGGTTCCGGATTTGGACGCGTTCATTCACACGCTCATCTCCACCTCAAGCACGGTTGCACTCATCTCGTTTAACTTTCCATTTTGCCTTGAAGAAAAGAGGTAAGTTATGTATAACGTGTGCACAATGTGCAAAATACGCATAGAAATAACATGCGAGCTTTGTTATACAGTGTGAGTTAGACATGTAGGATAATTCCGAGCTATTAGTGGTGCAGATGATGTAAACGTGTGGCGTATAAGCTACATTTAGTATTAGGGGGTAAGGTAAGGGTATGGGTTACAGGCTTTGTGTAGTGGTTCAGGATGCGTAGCACCTAAAATCTGATCAAGACACGTGTACAACAACGCAAAGCACTTAACAGATACAATATAATCCTTGCATTTGATATAGTGCCTTAACACATCGTCGAGACGTCTCAAAGCGCTTCACGGAATATGCCGTAAAGTGAATCGACTGTATACTTTGTGGGCGAAACACAACAGCCAATTGCGCACAGCAGCGTCCCCACAAAAATGCCGCGGATTGAGTGACCGCTTTTTTTTTTTGAAAGGATAATTACCCTCAGAAAAGCGATCTGCCAATCGACTAACAACACGGGTTTCTTCTTACTGCTGCAGGATATAATAGAGCACCAATTGGGGAACAGAGAGATTTAAGGACATTGAGTGAATGTTGGTTGAAGAATTACCGTTTGTTTTCAAGGAAGAAAGAGATAGAGGAAGTGAGGCAACAAGATTTTACAAGAGAGTTTCAGAGGACAGGGGCAAACTGTGGTGGATTGAGTAACCAAATTTATTTATTTTCTTTTGGAGCGGTTATTAAGGCCGGAAAAGCAATCTCGATCCACTAACAGCCTACTACTGGTAGGTAAACCTGCCGTCTGGGAATCGAGCCCAGGTCCTCTCGCTTGCGAGGCGAGCACGCTAACCACTACGCGACGGGAAACGTTATGTCGGGCAGAAGGTGATGGGTTCAAGTCCCATGTCGGAATTGCTAGACTGTGTTTGCCTCTCCAGGCTGCCGTAACATGGCTGAACACCCGGTGCTGGTGGTGGCGTACGGGCTGCTCGTGTCCTGTGGGATCCTGGGCAACTCCGCCGTCATCAGCGTCACAATGGACAGCACTTGCGAGAGGAACCGTCTCTCCTCGTCCGACCTCATTCTGATCAACATCGCAGTGGCCAACCTGCTGCTGTCCTTGACGAGGAACACCTACTGCTGACCTTGGATGCCGGTCTCCCCGTCTCTTTCTCCAGCGAGGGCTGCAGGCTGATGATGTTCGTCTGGACCTGGCTCAGGTCAACCAGCATCTGGGTGACCCTCAGCCTGAGTTGGTTTCACTTTGTCACGGTCAGAACCAGCCGGGGAGCCCTGGAGAGGCTAAGCGAGAGGAGGCGGGTCATCGCCCTCATGGCGGCGGAGTGGGGAGTCAACCTGGTCTATTCCGGCTTTGCCCTGGGCTACTCCTCCAACTCGACCAACAGCACCAACCACCTGGCCGTGATCAGCAGCACCATCCGGCCTCTGCTGGGCTGCGTCTGGACATTCCCAACCAAACAGAGCGGTTTCATCTACGCGCTGGTGTCCGTGGTGGTGCATGAGGCCATTCCAGTCGTCCTAATGCTCTACGCCAACGCAGGCACTTTGCTCTTTCTGTACCAACATCACAGGAAGGTCCAGGACTCTCAGCTCGCAGGGGGCGACCGCATTTCCCACGAGTGGAGAGCGGCCAAAACCATCCTGTATCTGATCGGCCTGTTCGTCTTCTGCTGGGGAACTCACGTGCTGTCCGTGAACTATTATAACTTCAAAGGAAGCCCTTCAACCCATTATCTACTGGTCATAGCCAGGTTTTCTGCCTCTGGGTTTATAGGGCTTTACCCCTTGGTGGTGGCGATGGGGCACAGCAAGCTCAAACACAGGCTGAAGAACATCCTAAAGTGTCTTTGTCCGTAGCACACGCGGCAATATCGACAACTGCGTTGTCAGATATTAGCGGCTATGAACATAATAATCCTTGCATTTGATATCGTGCCTTTCACATCGGGAGGACGTCTCAAAGTGCTTCACAGGATTCCCCGGGCAGGGCCAAAGTTTAGTCAAGTTTCTTTTACTTCACGCGTCCCTGTTTACCAAGCAGTAAGTTGGAACACGGTTGTTAGTCGATTGGCGGATCGCTTTCCGGGGCCAATAAACTCTTCCAAAAAAAAAATTTGGATCTCTCACTCCACGACTGCTGTGCGTATTCTCCCACAATATAGTCAATTCACCTCGCAATATATTCTGTGCAGCTTCGAGACGTCTCAACGGCGTGTGTTAAGACTCTATATCAAACGCAAGGATTATTATTGGAACAAATCAAACGGTACACTGTACTCAGTAAAACTACACAGTGATCAGAAAAACCACACGAAAGATCAGCCTGAGATTTCTACAGCTAAAAGTCTCAAGTCTTACATTTTGATATTGTGTAAGTCCGTCTCCTGAGGTGTTTAGTTTAAAAAGAAGTGAAAGTTGGGGTTGTACGGAAACAAAACAAACTGCAAAGGATGAAGGAAACAGAAGAATAATGAGAAGAGAAGAGAAATAAATGAACGAGCAAAAAAAGAGGTCAGGCATTCAAAACTTGGACATTAAAAACATTAGGGATATGGGGAAAGAGCTGGAAAATGGGATTGATTTAAAAATAATTGATCGAGTGCTAAAAATAATGCTCTTTTGCCTTTGACATATCACTTCGTTAAAATGCCTCGAAGCGCCTCACAAGATTTACTGGAAAGTGTAGTAACTGACAATTTGTGCGCCAGTCACAAAGTGAATGAGCAGTTTTATTTGATGGATGCACATCTACTTCCTCCAAACTTAAGATAATTGCAGGATGTAATGAGTTTATATTAAACTGCTCCCATTGATGGTGAGAATGAGATACAGTTTGTGACTTTCTGCAATCTGTCACTATATTATTACATAACGTGGGACAATTATGACTTGACTGCAAGAATTAACTTTACGCACGTGTGACACTAAGTCATTAATTCAGTCTGTACTCATTCCATCACAATAGCCGTCATCACCCGAGGGGATTCAATTTACTGCTTCTTTATTCGGAGTTTGCAGCGTTAATTCTCATCCACTCGCTGTGCGTTAACATACTCCGAGTCTACGCTCAGCCCCCTTCAAAGCACGTTGAAAAGGAGGAAAGAAATTTGATCCTGAAAGATAGGGACAACATTCCATTTAGCATTCAATCAGGCAGACGCCGGCTGGCTTCACGCTCCCTGCCCACCCCCCCATCTGCAGTCGGGCATTCACCTCCTTCAAGGTCCATCTCAAGACCATCCTCTTTGACCGCGCCTTTGGTCATCTTCCACCCTCGCCCCTCCTTGGCCTCCACCCCTCCCGAATCCAACCCCCAGCACGGGTGCACACTCTTCACTGTCCAGCGCCTTGGGACGTCCACCTGACTGACTGACTGACTGAAGCTCTTCATTCACATGAATTGTTTGCACTGAAAGAAAGGAGAGACAGAAGGAAGAAGAACAGTTTTATAGCACCTTATCAGATTGAATCATTTACTGAATTATATTGAACCACAATTACAGGCGGCGTGAACCAGTTATAGATTGTGTGTGTGTGTGTGTGTACGTCAGGCACACATCCCAACTTCACACAGACCTCAGTCGTTGAGGAATGTTCTCCAACTCATTACTGTTAATGACCTTCGGGCAACGAGAACCAAGCAATTAATTTAATTGAATTGTTCATGAGACGTTGTCGCTAACCCCAGTGCGCATTGTTGCTGTTCTTGCCCTGAGGTTACCACTTGCTGTAAAGCACCCGTAAGCAGTAAGCACACACGCTGAGAAATATTTCAGAACAAAATAAGTGCTTCTCTGTGAAAGCGTAGTCTGGAGCTGTCTCAACCTCTCTAAGTGCAGTGTTGGGTGAGGAGCGCTGTAGTGTTAGAAGGTGACGGGCTTCAGCTGAAACCTTACACCAAGGTCCTCCCTATCTGTCTGCTCAAGGTGGACATTAAAGATTCAATAGCGCTATTTTGAAGGAAAAGAGAAGGGCAGTTTTCCCACCGTGTCCTGGCCAACAATCCCCTCAAGTAAAATTGGTCACTCACCTCATCACTATTGATGTGCACAAACCAGCTGTCACGCTTGGCTTACAGTTACAGTCACTACACTTTTTACAGTAAAATGTTGCGAGTCGTCTCAATGGCACGATAAGGTGCTTTGATGCAAAGGTTGTTCTTCTTCTTATCTCAAGACGGTGAGGGCGCTGAGAGGAAAAGCATTGTGTAGGACGGCAGAGAAATCGTTGAGGAGGAACGAGAAGAATACTCAATGGCCGTGAACAAAGGAGTCTTGGTGTTTAGGGGGGGAATTAATCCACCCAGCGGCAAAAAATCAGCAGGTGCAAACAAGTCTTGGTCTGGAACCGCTGATGGTCCCACCCAAGGAGATAATTAGACCTCGGAGAGCATTGGTTTCCCAATTACTCTTGCCCGCAGGCGAGACGGCAGGAAGTAGATGATGCTTTGAGGTCCTGGTCTTTGCTAATTTCAAGTGTGTTTACGGGAACTGGAGCCCCACAAGAGGCAAATAACGATCAGGAATTCAATGTCGAAGCAGCAAAATAAAAATCTATTCATCAGGGTCTCGGCACCGCATGGCAGTCATTAAGTGAGATGCGCTGTCAGCGGGAAAAAGGGGTCTCCAGACTTTTATCGCACGTCAAGCTGTTGTTTACAATCGTTTCAAATTCATAATGAGGCACAGAAGCAGACTTCGTTTTACGACCGGATGCTAAGCTGCTCTTAGCACTGCGGTGTCGTAGGCTGGCAGGAAGCAAGAGCCTTTTAAACACGTCTTAAGTTTTCAAAGATTGAATGCATCCGAGCCACAACCGGTTATCATTTCATATGATAGAAGCCGCGCTCACGAGAAACACTGTGATACTAGTAATGATCCTTGAATTTGACCCAGCGCCTTATCGTGTGGTTGAGACGTCTCAAAGCGCTTCACGGGATATATCGTAAATACACTGTAACCTGTGAAGTGACTGTGTACTTCGTGGGTGACTGTATGGAGGAGAGCGATCTGCCTGTCCGATGCACACACCCGGTCACGTTTATAGCTGGGGTTTTCACCTCTGCTATTATATTCAGTCACTCCACTTTACCGTGTGTCCTGTGAAGCGCTTTGAGACGTCTCGACAACGTATTAAGGCGCAAGGATTATTATATTATTGTTGCGTTCACATAGAGCCTTTCGCGCACACGATGATGCTTCGGTCTCTTTGAGTGAAACTGATCAGAATGAGTGAACAGCTACCTACACGCCTTCACTTCACGGCGAAGCAGGGCTAACGTTTATCCTCCCAGCAGACCCAGTTGGTGTTGAGTGCGCCGTGAATCCTGACCTCTCTGGCGATCAGCCTCACGAACAGGAGTTAACTTTCGCATTAAAAGAGTGAAAAACGCCGTCGAGACCTCGCAATCGGAAATCGACGAAGTGGCGTCAGCTTACGAGGAGCGCGCGCGACGGTGCTGCAGGTGCGAGCGAATTAAACCGGAAAACCCTTCGGAAAATACTTAGCTCGCTCATCAACCAACGCACCGGTTGCTAGGCAGAGGGTGCGGGTTAAATGAAGCGTTTCTACCTGGTCAGCACAAAGAAAAAAAAAACCTTTAAAAATAAAGTAACAGCAGAACAGAGACCAAGATGCTGCTCTGCCAGTCACGCTGAAGAGACTCGCTTCAAGGTAAGCTTCTGTAGGACATATCAACGAAGAATGAGATGGAAGCCACGTCACTTGCCCGGCTGCTCTGTCCTGATAAGTGCTGCACTGCCGCGTGGATCAGCGAGAGGCAAATGAAGAGAGAGAAGCCGAAACTTGCATTTGATTACAGCGCCTTTCGCGCCCGGAGGACGTCTCAAAGCGCTTCCGCGGATTCGCTGTAAGGCGCAGTGACTGTGTGTTTGTGGAGTCCCGTAGCTCAGTGGTTAGCGCACTCGCTTTGCAAGCGAGAGACCCGGGTTCGATTCCCGGCAGGGGGTGAAACCTTGGGCAAGTTTCCTTACTCCACACCCCTGATAATAATCCCTCAAGAAAAAGAACAATAATAAATTGGTCACTTCAATCCGCGGCTGTTTGTGGGGGGACGCTGCTGTGCGCAATTGGCTGCCGCGATTCTCCCACAAATATACAGCCAATTCACTTTACACTCTATTCTGTGAAGCGCTTTGAGACGTTGAGAAGGCGTGAAAGCTGCTATATCAAATGCAAGGATTATTATTATTATTTTGTACACAATCTCAGCGGCCAATTTGCATACGGCAATGTCCCACAACAGCCACGAAGCTAACGAACAATTGTTGGGTGGTTGTTGGGCAGGAGATCGACCGGGTGAAACTCCTTGCTCTTTTCGAGTAGTGCCATGGGATCTTTTAACGCCCAAGCTGAGTGGCAGACAGGACCTTGGTTTAACGCCTCATTGAGGGACAGCACCTCCGACCTCCAGCGCTTCCCCCCAGCACCTCACTAAAATGTCAGCCTAGAATACATGAGCTCAAAGTCCCGATGTGGGACTTCATCCCACAACTTTCTGTCTCGACGGCAAGAGTGCTACCAACTGAGCCAATCTGACTCCTGGCTGCTGTGTGGTTGTAAGCATTATTTATTACTATGATTGTTATTTAAGTGCTTTTACACAGTTCAGCGTGCTAAGGCGTTGTTAAAGAAGAACCGTGCAGCGAGAGTAGAATCTAAACGGTTATTCACTCGAATTGAAATGGCTGAATTCTTACTTACCCATCCAGCCAGCAGAGATAATAAACTTGTGTCCTGCTGTTGGAGCCCAAGTGAGCGAGGTAAAAGAACGTATGATCCCTCTGCGATTCCCAGATTGCCTTTTCGTAAATGTTATTTTTCTTCCTCCATGTTTAAGCTGCTCTATTTAACTTACTCCACCTTTTGGGCAAAGCTTCGATACCTAACCAGTTTGCTTCGGACCGACGCTAAAGATCCCATCCGTGCGGCTGCTCAACCAGGAGAAGGAGATTCTTCCCGTTGTCCTGGCCAACAGTCCCTTAGATAAAACGGGACCTCGCTGCGCGCAAAATGCTTTGTCAAATTTGTCTACAGCAACAGTCGCTGCACAATAATCACTGTGAAGCACTTTTGAAATGTTTTAAGGTGATAAAAGTGCTCTTGTACAGAAAGGCAGGTCCTTTCTCTCCTTGACGGAGACTGCCATCTCGTGAACACATCGCTGAACTACATTTGTGGGTGAAGCAAAACGGTAACGGGTCTCATTCTACATCTCGAATCCGTTACAGTCTTGTCCGCTCCCTAGACACGCACTCTCCTCCTCCGACCCCATCCTCCTGCCCGTGCCCTCAACCCCTTTATTTGCTCATTCCACGCTCCCTCTGTCCTACCATTGGCCTTGAGCCACCGTGCCTCTGTCCATCAGAAATACTAATAATCCTTGCATTTGATGTAGCGCCTTGTCACGTCGTTGAAAGCGCTTCATGGGATACACCGTAAAGCGGAATGGACTGTATATTTTGCGGGCGAAATCTCTCTCCCCGGTTCCTCTCAATAATACTACAAAATACAGTCACTACACTTTGCATTGTATCCTGTGAAGTGCTTTGAGGCGTCTCGACGACGCGATGAGGCCCTATATCGAACGTGAGGATTATTATCATTAATAAGGTAAGCGGGAACGCATCGGCGTAATGTTTTATTCACAATTTTAAATGTTGTAGATTATTAATAGCGTGCAACACACGCTATTGAGAAGCCTGGTAAACGGGAGCATGACGTATCAATTTAACCCTCACATCATCTTCTACGGAGCGCTGATCTTTCTGGGTACCCTGGGCAACTTCCTCGTGCTCGCGACCATACTGGCCATCGTGTTGGAGGACCACAGTTTTCCTTCCTCCGACATTCTCCTAACCAACCTGACCATCGTGAACCTGCTGATTTCGATCTTCTGGAACATCCCGGAGTTTATCTTGGAGTCGGGGGTTGAGATGCTGCTCCCCCTGAGCTGGTGCCGGCTGTTCATGTTCATCTGGGTGTGGCTCAGGTGCGTCAGCATTTGGGTCACTTTCCTCCTCAGTCTCTTCTACTTCCTGAAGATAAAGCAGCATGTGCGGTTGTCCACCAAGGCCAGGGAAGCCACCTTTGTCTCGGCCACCCTGCTGGCCATCTGGCTGGTCAACTTCGCCTACGCCATACCCGCCCTGTTCTACGCCAAGGCCACTTCCGGGAACGAGACAGTGTCCCTGATGATCGTCAGCACCACCGTCAAGCCGTTCCTCGGGTGCGTGTGGAACTTTCCCAACGCCCAGGCAGCATTGGCGGTTTCCAAGTCCTACCTGGTGATCCAGGAGATCCTGCCCATGCTGCTCATGTTGGGCACCAACCTCAGCACTGTGTACTACCTGCAGAAGCACATGAGGTCCATCGGGGTCGAACGGCTGCACAGCTTGCAGGTAGAGAGGAAAGCAGCCAAGGTGATCATGGCTCTGGTGACCCTGTTCGTGCTGTGTTGGGGAACCCACTTGTTGGCGGTCAACTATTACAGTTACAACCGAGGGAGTGCCACCAGCTTTATCCTGACCCTGGCAAACTACAGCGCCTCGTTGTTTATTGGCTTCAGCCCGCTGATATTAGCCATGGGGCACGGCAAGCTACGTGGCAAGATCTGCAAAATACTGCGTATTAAACTCACGTAGGGGAGCCAGTGTATTATTATTATTATTATTATTATTGACGACATCTCCGCGTTACTAAGCTTTATAAAAAGCCGTGCCTTTGATACCTTGTCCTTGTTGGAACGTGTCTCTCTCAGTGTCTCGTCAGCGCATTACGCCGGCTACCGAGCCGTCGCTGCCACACAATTGGCGGCTGATTTTGGAGCGGGCGCCGGGAGTGGGGCGACGAGCGTTTTCATCCAAGCGGCATCCCGTCGCTCAGTGGTCAAGGGCCCTCGCCCTGGCAAGCGAGAGACCCGGGTTCGATTCCCGGCAGGTCAGGGCGAAACCTTGGGCAAGTTTCCTTACCCCCCCCACACACACGCACGCACGCCCACACACGCACGCCCACACCCACGCACCCCCTAATAATAATCCCTCCGAAAAACAAAACGATAATAAATCGGTCCTCTTCAGTCCACGACTGTTTGTGGGGAGGAGAACGCTGCCGCGCGCAATTGGCTGCCGCGTTTCGCTCACAAAAATACACAGTCACTACACTTTGCAGTGTATCCCGTGACGTCTGGAAGACGTGGTGAGGCGCCGTATGAAATGCCAGGATTATTATTATTATTGTTATTGTTATTATTAAGCGCGGAAAACGGCTAATAAAGGGGATTTGGGACGTCTGAACAGCGCGAAACCCTCCACACAGACCCTGTTACTGATTCCTATTGTATTTTCCGTATCGGGTTTATTGTTTCGGGGGTAAATATTCGGGGCGGAGTTTTTTTGGGGTCTTTTTTTTTAGGAGCCGAGTCTTTAGGGATAAAGGGATTTGGGTCAATACTTGGGGTTGTTTATGGTGAATGTTCAGGGTCAGTGCGTTTGGGGTTGAGTGATTAGGGCCAGTCTCTAGGGTCAGTGTGTTTGGGGTCATTGTTTAGGGTCAGTGGGATTGGGGTCAGTGATTAGGATCAGTGTTTAGGGTCAGTGTTTGGGGGGGGGGGCGGTCAGTATTTAGGGTCAGTGATTTAGGTCAGTGTTTGGGGGGGGTCAGTATATAGGGTCAGTGTGTTTAGGGTCAGTGTTTGGGGGGGTCAGTATATAGGGTCAGTGATTAGGGTCAGTGTTTGGGGGTCAGTGATTAGGGTCAGTGTTTGAGGGGAGGGTCAGTATATAGGGTCAGTGATTAGGGTCAGTGTTTGGGAGGGGGGTCAGTATATAGGGTCAGTGATTAGGGTCAGTGTTGGGGGTCAGTGATTAGGGTCAGTGTTTGGGGGTCAGTGATTAGGGTCAGTGTTTGGGGGGGGTCAGTATATAGGGTCAGTGATTAGGGTCAGTGATTAGGGTCAGTGTTTGGGGGTCAGTGATTAGGGTCAGTGTTTGGGGGTCAGTGATTAGGGTCAGTGTTTGGGGGGAGGGTCAGTATATAGGGTCAGTGATTAGGGTCAGTGTTTGAGGGGGGGTCAGTATATAGGGTCAGTGATTAAGGTCAGTGTTTGGGGGTCAGTGATTAGGGTCAGTGTTTGGGGGTCAGTGATTAGGGTCAGTGTTGGGGGTCAGTGATTAGGGTCAGTATATAGGGTCAGTGATTAGGGTCAGTGTTTGGGGGTCAGTGATTAGGGTCAGTGTTTGGGGGTCAGTGATTAGGGTCAGTGTTTGGGGGGGGGTCAGTATATAGGGTCAGTGATTAGGGTCAGTTTTGGGGGGGGGTCAGTATATAGGGTCAGTGATTAGGGTCAGTGTTTGGGGGTCAGTGATTAGGGTCAGTGTTTGGGGGTCAGTGATTAGGGTCAGTGTTTGGGGGTCAGTGATTAGGGTCAGTGTTTGGGGGTCAGTGATTAGGGTCAGTGTTTGGGGGTCAGTGATTAGGGTCAGTGATTAGGGTCAGTGTTTGGGGGTCAGTATATAGGGTCAGTGTTGGGGGTCAGTGATTAGGGTCAGTGTTGGGGGTCAGTGTTTGGGGGGGAGGGGGGGGTGAGGGAGGCGGGGACACGGCCTTGCCCCCCCACCCCCGCCCCCACCCCTCTCCCCGCGGCCTGAAGCCCTGAGGGCGGGGGAAGCCGCGTCACCGCCCATCACAAAGCCCCGGGGGGGGAGGGGGGGGTAGTGAGTTCAGCGCGTCCCGAAAGCCAGGCCGAGGCTTGAGGTGCGGCCTAGTTGCTGCCCTCCTCCCCCCCTCTCCCCCCCTCCCCCCCCACACACACACACACCTGAGGGGGGGGGAGGGGGGTCCACCCTCCCGCCACACACACACACACCCCCCGAGCCGAGCCGAGGCCTCGGTGTCCGGCCGCCATGCCGCCCGCCTCCCGCTGAGGCCGAGGCGGGTGGGGAGGGAGGGAGGGAGGGGCCATGTCCCGCAAGCAGGGGCGGGGGGGTCGGGGCAACCGGCCGACCGAACCCGCCGCCGCCGCCGCCGGCGGCAAGGCCCAGGCCCAGGCCCAGCCCGGGGCCGCCGCCGCCCGCAGGGCCCGAGCCCAGGCCCAGGCCCAGGCCCAGGAGCGGAGGAACCGCCCCCACGGCGGCCCCGCGCAGCGCCAACAGCAGCAACAGCGCGAGTTCCTCAGCTTCGCCAATCAACTCCAGGCCCTGGGCCTCAGGGTCCGCGAGGTCCCCGGGGACGGGTAAGAGAGGCCTCGCCCACCGCCCACCGCCGGCCACCGGCCACCCGGGTCCCGCTCACACCGGCAACACCCACTTCCCTCCCCCCCCCACACACACACACACTTCCACACACACACACTCCCACCCACACACTCCCACACACACACACTCCCACACACACACTCCCACACACACACACACTCCCACACACACACACTCCCACACACACACACACACCCACACACACAACACAACACACTCCCACACACACACACACTCCCCCACACACACACTCCCACACACACACACACACACTCCCACACACACACACACTCCCACACACACACACACACACACACACACACTCCTACACACACACACTCCCACACACACACACACTCCCACACACACACACTCCCACACACACAACACAACACACTCCCACACACACACACACTCCCCCACACACACACTCCCACACACACACACACACACTCCCACACACACACACACTCCCCCACACACACACACACACTCCCACACACACTCCCACACACACACAACACACACACTCCCACACACACACACACACACTCCCACACACACACACACTCCCACACACACACACACACTCCCACACACACACACACACACACTCCACACACACACACACACACACTCCCACACACACAACACACACACTCCCACACACACACACACTCCCACACACACAACACAACACACTCCCACACACACACACACTCCCACACACACACACTCCCACACACACACACACACACTCCCACACACACTCCCACACACACACACACACACACACTCCCCCACACACACACACACACTCCCACACACACTCCCACACACACACAACACAACACTCCCACACACACACTCCCACACACACACACTCCCACACACACACACACTCCCACACACACACACACACAACACAACACTCCCACACACACTCCCCCCCACACACACTCCCCCACACACACACACACAACACAACACTCCCACACACACTCCCCCCCACACACACTCCCCCCACACACACACACTCCCACACACACACACTCCCACACACACACACACTCCCCCACACACACACTCCCACACACTCCCCCCACACACACACTCCCCCCCCCACACACACACACAGCTCCCACACACACACCTCCCACACACACACTCCACACACACACACTCCCACACCACACACACTCCCACACACACACACACACTCCCACCACACACACAATCCCACACACACCCCCACACACACACCCCACACACACCCCCACACACACACTCCCACACACACACACACACACACTCCCACACACACACACACACACACAACACTCCCACACTCCCACACACACTCCCCCCCACACACACACTCCCACACACACACTCCCACACACACACACACTCCCCCCACACACACACACACACACCCCCCCCCCCCCACACACACTCCCACACACACACTCCCCCCCCCCACACACACACACAACACAACACTCCCACACACACTCCCCCCACACACACTCCCCCCCACACACAACACCCCCCCCATTACTCCAACACTCCCCCACACACACTCCCCCCATTACTCCAACACTCCCCCCCCACACACACCTCCCCATTACCCCAACCCCACCCCTACACCCCCTCCATTACCCCAACCCCTTCTCCCCCCACCCCCATTACCCCAACACCCAAGGAGGGTGATCAAAAGGAGGGTCGTGAGACGGGTCTAGAAGGAGACAAGGGAGGGGGGGGTGTGTGAGGCGGAGGGACTGCGGGGTGGAGTTTCAGAGGGCGGGGGGGGGGGGGGCAGAGTGGCTGAAGTGGGGCGAAGGAGGCGGGGGACATGAAGCAGGCCGGAGCGAGCGGGCGGGTTGGTAAGGGGTTAGGAGGTCGCAGAGGTAGCGGGGTGGGGGGGTCACACTCCCTTCTCCAGTGTCTCCCCCCCCCCCCAAACCGTTCCCCCATACCCCCCCCAAGTCACCCCATCCTCACTGCACTGTACCCCCGGCGGTGCCTGTCTGTGCCTGGGACCCGGTGTCCGGAGTGGTACACTGTGGTCAGAGAAACAATGGCTGATTTATTCCCTGACTCGTGTGTGAGTGAGTAACCGACTAACGGGGGCTTGAAGGGGGTTTGGGGGTAAGGCGGGATCGTGGGAGGGAATGGAGGGGGGAGTCGGGAGGGCGGTGTTGGGGGGGGGCTCGAATAATCCCATTGAAATATGTAATTTCTTCGTGCGGCTTAAAGGAACTGCCTGTTTCGAGCCCTTGGCGACCAGTTGGAAGGCCATTCTCGCAACCACTTGAAGCATCGGAGGGAGACAGTGGATTACATGGTCAAGCACAGGGAAGACTTTGAGCCGTTCGTGGAGGACGAGGTGCCTTTTGACCGTTACGGTGAGTCTTCGAGGACTCAACCCTGGTCCTGCCGGGCGCGTTCAAGTCCTGGGGTGATGAGGTCCTACGTCAAACGCAAGGCTTGCTATTATTAATAACATTATTGTTGTTATCATCATCATCATGATTATTATTATTATTGGATGCTCCTCTTGACGCCTTGATCCACTGGAAGGGTTCGGGAACAATAGCTTTCCGGTAAACCGTCGGGAAGTTTCTCCCTGTTTCCTGCGGAGCTGGCTGGCCCAACGTTGCTGCCGCAGATACTGTGGCCCTGACACCAGGTCGTCTGACGGGTCTCGGCGTGCGGTGGCCTGAGAAGCAGACGCAGTCCGAACAGTAATGTCACGGCTGGAGTGGAACTGAAGTTGTCTCGCGGCAAATGGCTCAGTCAGAGCCTTTGATTGGGTGGGGGGGGTTCCAACCCCGGGGTTTAGGGGGAGCACAGTCACCTCGGGGGACCCGGATGGTAATAGTACCAGGTGCCATAAGCCAACCCAATGGGGATATTGGTGAGGCAGAGCTGAACTTGGCTCCCAGCGAGACCCTATCATGTTTTTTTTGTGTGTGTGTGTGTTTCTAGTCATGAATCTGGAAAAGCCGGGTACGTTTGCTGGTAACGATGCCATCGTCGCCTTTGCCAGGAACGCCCAAGTGAATATAGTCATCCACCAGCTCAACGCACCGCTCTGGCAGGTAACGCACACCGTGCCTCGGGAGTTGCACGCTCACGGAAACCAGGACCGTGCCCTTTGGTCCTCAAGTGGTGACGTCGGCTACAGCGGTTTTTGGTGGTCGCGCTTTCAGCCCCTACTCTCCCTCCGTCCCTCCATCCGTCCTCGCCCCGTTCCTTCGCCCCGTCTTCAAGTCCCGCCTGAAAAACTTCCTCTTCGAGCGTGCCTACGGTCACCTCCCGCCTCTCCCTTCCCTTCCTTCCCCCCCACCCCCACCCCCCGCCACTGTCGAGCGCTGCCCAGCTTGTGGGGTTGCTGTACAAACTCAAAATGGTCACTGTTGTGTTTACTCCGGGAACGGAAGCCGCACAACACTCGCGCACGAATAAACCTTGTTGTTGTGAATGAGTCACCCAGTTCTCTGCCAGTGATAAATACAGTATTGTCCTCGGCTTCCTCTGCAACTGTTTTTTAATTATATATATATATATATGTGGAAGATCTTTCAAATGCTTGGAATTGAGCGATGGATTTCCTTCCTAGTGTGATTTGGCATGAGTGCGTGTGGGTGGGTGGTGTCTCGTTGATTAAACAAGCAATAACAGCTTGCGTATGCAGCTCGGGTCACATAAAGATAATGTGCCGGAGCGAAGGCTTCGCGGGGTTAGTGTCGGGCACTGAGCAAAGTGGGAGGGGACCGTAGGCAAGGTCAAAGAGATTGGTTTTTGGTGGAGGGATTTAGCGCGCGAGAGAGAGAGAGAGAGAGAGGGTGAGCCAGAGAGGTAGAGCTGAGGAGTTCCAAAGGGAGTGTGCGTAGTAAAACCGGGAAATTATCCAAGTTCAATGATGTGTCATGTTTCATGACCCATCAAATCTCGCACTGGCCATAAAATGTTGCAGCACAGAAATGGCCCTCTTCCGGAGGAACAGGAGGAGGAGGCCATTCAGCTCCTCGAGCCTGTTCTGCCATTCAGTTAGATCATGGCTGATCTGTACCTCAACTCCAATGACCTGCCTTTGCTCCATAGCCCTTGAAACCTTAACCTAACATAAGTCTATCCACTTCAGTCTCAAAAATTTGAATGGATCCAGCATCCACAGCCACTTGAGTCACCTAATCTAGTCACACTTTCCCGCATTTCTCCCCCCCCCCCACCCCACCTCCCACCAATTCCTTTTAATCTCAATTCTCCTTCAACGAATTGATGAATTAGTAAATGCTACATTGTGTAGCGCGAATCCCACATTCCAACCACCCTCCGTTTAAATGTTTTTCTTACCTCCCTTTCGCGTTTTTTTTTCTTTTTTGGGGGTGGGGGGGGGAATCGTCTTAAAATTTATGCCTTCTCATTTACCGATAGAACGAATAAGATAATCCTTGTTTACTCCCATCGTAAACCTTTCACGCGGGGCAGCATCCGGGAGCGCGGAGATGTCTCGACGACATGATAGGGGCAGCATCGAAGTGCAAAGATTGTTATTTTGCTCTATCTCGATGCTGGATTTCGCAATGTTCTTGGCAACGGATGAGAGAACGTGTGTGGGGATGTGTGTGAGAAACACGGCTTCAGTGACTGCATTGAGAGCCCTTTAGCGCTGACTCAGTCCTTCTAATGCCGCAGGTTCCCGGAGCGCGGAAGGGCCACGCAGCAGAGCTCCACATCGCCTACAGATACGGGGAGCACTACGACAGCGTCCGAAAGATTAACGATAATTCAGAAGCGCCGGCTAATCTAAAGACAGAGGTCGGTGCCACCGAGAAGGTTTCATTCAAAAGCCTCTGCACTCTGTTTTACTTTCAGGAACAGCAACACTCGGTTTCTGTTTTGTAAAACATTCTCTGCTGGCGGGGGTAATAATCCCTTCAAAATAATAATAGTAATAATAATTTGGCCACTGTTTGTGGGGACGCTGCTGTGCGCAATTGGCTGCCACGTTTCGCCCACAAAATATTACAGTCAATTCACTTTGCAGTATATTCTGTGAAGCGCTTTGAGACGTCTCAAAGACGCGATAAGACGCTACATCAAATGCAAGGATTATTATTATTCATTGATTGATTACCATAAGATTCTCTCATTAACTTTTCAAGCTGTTAGGCATCAACTGGAGACGAGAAAAATCTGTTGGCTCACCTGGCTTGGGCTCACCAAGAAAACATATAAACCAGATAACCCCAGGCCACTCCATCTCTTGTACTCCCTCCTCAACTGAATTCTTTGCCAAATAGCTGACTTAATTAATACCTTCTCTGAATTTCTTGACACAATTCCTGTCACCTCGAGGGCGGGTCGGGCCTTGCGTTCGGTCTCTTGTCTCGCGCTCAACCTCGGTGTACCCGCCCACAGATGCTGATCAAGGACGATTCGAAGAAGAAAGACGGGAACACGACATGCAATTATCGGGCCGAAGACATACGGGATTTTGAGAGCGAACCGACCGAGACGGAGGTGGACGACGCAGTTCAGAAAGTGCGCAATGCGACGGGGTGCACGGTAAGTTTCTCCCTCAAAACACATACAAGTCACTGGGCTCTGCGATATGTTCTGTGAAGTGCTTTTAGATGTCTCAGTGAAGTGATAAGGTGCTTACATCAAATGCGAGCACCTTATCACTCGTATGATATAATTATGTTATATTATGCACTTTTCTTGCAGGACACGGATTTAATTGTTCAGAGTCTGGAGGTGGAAAGCTATAACATAGAGTCAGCTATTGCCGCCATCTTACAGATGCATGAGTTGCCAAATTACGGTGAGTGGATCCACCCTGGTCTCAATCAGTCTCAATTTAAAAGGACTTTTCGCGAATCTATGCCAGGAAGATATAATTTCCACTCTTCCACTAATTCATTTATTTATTTATTTTTGGGGTGGGGGTGGGGGAGGTGGTTCCACGTTCTCTGTCGAGCTCTTTTTGCCCCCAGCGCCTTGGGATGTCCTCCCGACATGAAAGCAAATGTTTTCGCACGAATGTCAACGTACAGTTAGTCCTCGCGAGCAGACTAGGGGCTTTTTGTACTGCGCTTTTACGTGACTCTTGTTTTATTAGCTTCCGATACAATCTCGAGTCGTAACTTTATGGTGGGTGTTTGTCTGTTCGGGAGACCAATTCCCACACAACAGACTGTTGACTTACTGGTACGTTCCAGTCATAAAAGTGAATACTTCTGTTTATTGCTCCTGCTCTGTGAGATTTACTCAAAGTACAGCAACTGTTTATTGACCAAAAACATCCTGACATATTGGTGGGTGGGGGAGGAGGGGAGATTTTGCATTGCTGGGATGGAAAGTTTTACTTCGGAACATTATTCTAAATGGTCTTCTGGACTAGAAGGGGGTGTGCGGAGGGAGTGTGGGGGGCGGGGGTCCAACCTTTTAGCTGCTGAGGCCCGGATGCCCTATTTGAGAAATGTCCGTGGGCCGAAAAAGCAACATTTTTGTGTTTGCGTTCCAGAAACAGAACATAACATTTACGGGTTTATGGAGGGAGCGGGTGGGCAGGTGAAATGGAGGGAGGGGGTGGGCTGGGGGCCGGATTTGGCCCGCGGGCCGCCAATTGGATCACCCTGTTCGAAGACAGCAACAAAAATGACATTTGTAGAGCGCCTTTCACGTCAGAAGGATGTCCCGCGGCGCTGAGGGCATAGCCTAATAGCTTCCTGTGCACCTTCTGCTTGTTGTCTAACCCCGTTGCCCTGACAGGAATCTCTGTGACCCTGTTCTCTCGCTGAATTAGATGCCGATGACAAGACATGTACGAGAGGCTGTAACAGTGACTGTCAGTGTCGGTCTCCACTGTGGATGGAGAACGGAAGCGGCTCCAGGATTTTCGGCCCCCATGTAGCCGACGTGGGAGAAAAGGAGAATAACAGGACGCTAAATGAGAAGGAGGACAACAAAAGAAGCAAGAATAAGCCGTCAAAGGTATGTTTCTTTTTCTTGGGTCAGCCGGGAGTCTGACACGCACGGAAACCTATGGCTGTGCTTGAGCGTTTCCGAGCCCAACTGAGAATTCCGTGCATCCCACCTACACGTGGAGACTCTAGAGTTAGATGAAAAGCGTGTTAAACTGTGTGCGCGCGTGTGTGTTTGTGTGTGAGAGCCTGTGGGCATGCACGTGTGTGTGGAGTAGAGATGTCCTGATGCAAAAGGCGCCATATCGAACGTAAGGACTGTTGTTGTTATTATTAATCTGCCGTTTTCTCTCTCGTTAAAACCCGAGGTGACAAACAGGCAGAGAAAAGAGCAGCAAAGGCTGGAGAGGAAGAAACGGCAGGAGGAAAGGCATCGGCAAAAGTTCCTGGACTGCAAGAGCAACAATGAAGGCGCAGAGGCTCAGGCACCAGTCACTCTGGTTAAGACATTCGCCACTTTAAACATTTGATGCACTGCCTTCTTTCTGGGAGTGAGCAGCAGCGAACGAACACACACACACTCACACACACTCACACCTGAGAATGAAACCTGCTTTACTATCTAGTCGCCCGACTTGGGGAGGAGAGAAGAGGCGAGGCGAAGAGAGGGATGCAAGTTTACTGCCGTGTAACCGTTGCTGCTTCAATTACGAGTAATTTTGACTTCACAAAAGCCGGCGTCTTTTGAAAGTCCTTTGAAAAACGGACTCTTTGTGTTTGTTCCTTTCGTTTGTTTTTGTATCCTTAGTTGAAAACCGAAAAATCAGAGGAGGGGTTGCATATGTGCATGTCCGAGGTTGTATATTTATTACACTATGCAATTAAAAAGTGATGATTCAAGAAAAATAAGAGAGAGATGAAAGTGTTTAGGCTGTTATTATTATCAGTAGTAAGTCGATTTCCGGGAGTAATACTGTAAAGTGAATTGACTGCATATATTTTATGGGCGAAAGCCAATTGCACACAGCAGCGTCCCCACAAACAGTCGTGGATTTGAGTGATCAAATTATTATTATTACTTTAATTGAGAGGGATTACCACCCCAAGAAAAGCGATCCGCCAATCGATTTAACAACCGGGTTCCTACTTGCTGCAAGTGCTGAGGCGTGTGTTTGTGTGCGTGGAGTAAGGAAACTTGCCTGAGGTTTTGCTCTGCCCGGGTAAAGTCGAACCCAGGTCCTCTCGCTTGCGAGGCGAGGGCTCTAAACACTACGTTACGGGGACCCCACAAAGGTATGTAAATGTTGGTATTTTCGACTAGATTATCAGCATTACAGATTGAAGAGTTGACAAATATTGGTCACGAGTGACACCCTCAAACATCCAGCTGAACTTTGTCAACCAATGCCATAAAGCCGTTCCATGTAGTTACACTTTACTCCTGGATTATAGCGCAGTGGCCAACGTCACAACAGTAAGACACACAGTTTTTGTTTGATTTATTGGAGTCACGTGAATGCGGGAATCAAGGCCTGACGTAACGGAGCCATAAAATAAACGCTTGCGAGTTCGGTTAGGGTGGTGGCTGGACCTCTCTCTGTCTCGAGAGAGAGAGAGAGAGATCGGGCTGCACTCGCTGGGCAGTCTGAGCTGGGCCGGGGTCTGGAGGGTTTAAGATCATGGCCGAGACGCAGGTGGACTTCGATGGAGATGGCGATGTGGCTCTCTCGGAGCTGGAGTGTCCCGTGTGCTTCAACAGCTACGAGTTCTTTGTCCGCAAGCCCAAGCTGTTGGCCTGCCAGCACGGCTTCTGTGCCATCTGCCTCAAAGTCATCCTGGAGGAGAAGGACGGTTGCTGGGTGGTGCCTTGCCCTCTGTGCAGGCGTTACACTCTGGCCCTGGACGCTTCCGTGGCCAACTTGCCGGACAACCCCCGGGTCGTGGACCTACTCTCCAGGAGGACGTGCCCTTTCCCCGAGTCCGTCCCCGAGGTACTCCTCGTTCCGCACCTGCTTCTGCCGATGGCGGACGCCGGGGTCGGGGGCGAAGTCCCGGAGGTCAGAGAGGACCTCGACTTTCACGTGGACCAGGGCGAGATCTTGCTCGCCGGCTGTGCCGAAAGCGCCACCAAGCGCTTCCTGTTGACCCTGATCTTCTTCCTGATCATCGTGCTCGCGGTCCAGTATTTCGTCAATAAAGCGTCTCTCGTCTGGGTGACTGTGGTGCTGGGCTCGCTCAGTGCCCTCATCACGTTAACCCTGCTCTACAGCTGCTGTCAGAAGAGAGGCCACAGACGACTGGGCGCATCCTGCAACTGTAACTGTCCGTGTCTCCCCGCGACCAACAACTGACCCGGTCAACGTCAGCGTAAAGATTTTAAATTAAGATCTCCTCCCCTTCTCCCCACTCCGCACTCCCCCACCCACCAATCCCCGAAAGGCTGTGGATGCTGGATCAATTGAAATCAATTTCAAGACTGAGGTGGCTATTCCTTTTTTTGGGGGGGTCAGGGTATCGAGGGAGATGGAGTGAGGGGAGGTAATTGGAGTTGAGGTACAGATCAGCCCATGATCTAATAGAATGGCAGAACAGGCTCGAGGGACTGAATGGCCTCCACCTTCTCCCCCTCCTCCTCCTGTTCTCCTGTGTGGCATACTGCTAACGGACTCGGGTACCGTTTTCACCACAATGAATTGCACGATAATCCAGGCTTTTTATTCTGTTTAAAATCACGTGTAACATATGCGATGTGGTCTATGGGAGATGATATACTGTGTATGTTTTTGTGCAGCGCAAAAGTGGGGGTGGGTGGGAGGGGGTGTGTGTGTGGGGCGCAGAATATCACAGTCGTTTCCCCCTGACAGTGAAGCACAGTGAGAGATTGGGCGCTAAATCAAATCACACCGCACCCCCTCACCAAAAATAATGGGTCATTCAATCCATGACTCTCTGTGAGACGCTGCTGTGCACAATTAGCTACTGCATTTCTCCCACAAAATACACAGTCACTCCACCTTACGGTGTCTTCTGCCTAGCGCTCAGAGACATCTGAACAACGTGCTCAGGCGCTGCTAATAGTATTGCTGCCTCCCTCGAGGGCTGAGAGGAGGTTCATCACGGGAATGGCACCAAAGCAGAGTGTGCCGGGGCTGTGAGCTTCCTCTCTTGGGGGGTGGGGGGTGATCTCCTCCCCGGTTATGGTAACGTGACAGAAGGGGCCTAATTACCTCCTTTTAGCCCCCCAGTGTGAAAGGCAGAGCAAATCCGTGTGGCTGGGTGGCTTGTCGGCCATCCTGTACTCTATTCCTGTCTTTAGAGCCAACTTGGGACCCCGGGGGCTGAGAACGTTCCCTCCGCTTTGTTGGGTTGGCAGAGTGATGGGTTCATCTGTCACACAGCCCTGAATCACAGCTGCGGACACCCGAGCCAGCAAACAGGGGTGGACAGACTCCCCCAACAAACCTGTTTGGAACAGGGTCGTGGTGGCGGGGGGGGAGAGAGAGAGAGAGAGAGAGAGAGAGAGTGTGTGTAAAAAAAAAATCATCCCAATCCTTCTGGCTTCTCCGTTCACTTTACAGTATATTCCGTGAAGCACTTTGGGGCGTTTCACAGATCGGGCGTTAGATCAAATGCAAGAATTATTATTATCATTATTATTATTCAGACGGCCTGTCCAGAAATCGGTCAGGAATCCCGACGTAACTCAGTCCTGAAGTTGGGAAGCATTTATCTGCCATTTGGTGTGAATGTCGTTACGGATTTCACCCCACCCCACCCGCCCCTTCCCTCCCCTCCTCTCCCCCCACCCTCCTGTTGTGAGCACGGGGGACAGAGTTGAGGCTGAGGTTTACCTGCTGATAATGTTACAGTGGGAAAAAAAGGCCAAGATGCTCAAGAATACTCTTTTATGGCAGCTCGTTACCATGGCAGTGGGATGCTTCTCCACTTGACTCTCTCTCCCTCTCTCTCTCCCGTGGTGGCGTACTGTTGCTATGGTGTCAGTTAATGATGCTTTAGTCTCTCTGTCTCTCTGACCCCCTCCCACCACCCCCCAACCCCCCCCCCCCCCACCTCCAACTCTCCCCAGATGTCGCTAAAGTGTGGGCACAGCATGTCCGAGACAAGCACTGGCTGGGACCATATGGGGGCAAACTCACTCTCGGTCCGTGACACATTGGGACAGATGTTCCTCTGTTCCTACCCCCCCAATCCATCACCCAGTTAATGGCCTGACACGTCACGTCCCTATTGTGCTCAAAGCCCACCTCCCAGTCCGCAAATTTGTCCTGGTCTCAATAATAATAATAATAATAATAATAAAATCCTTGCATTTGACACACAGCGCCTCAACACGTCTTCGAGACGTCTCAAAGCGCTTCGCAGGATTGACCGCAAAGTGAATTGACCGCGCATTTTGTGGGCGAAACGCGGCAGCCGATTTCTTAGCCTGAAGACCAATGTCTCCCCGTTTAATGTCCGGCTTATTTGAAAATATCGGAGAAAAGAAACGCAGCAGAAACCCAACAACGCTTCCCGAAAGAACTTACAACGACAACAACAACAAGCGTCTGCGGGGGTGGGGGTGGGGCAGGGGAAAAGGGGGGAGGTAGACACAGTCGAAAACAGTGCGCAACCAATCACGACAGGAGGGATGCCTTAAAGCGCTTGTTTCACAGTGGAAGGGTTTTGAGACGTCCTCCCGACGCGAAAGCCTCCGTGTCGAAAATTATTATTATTATTTTTTATTATTGCTATTTTTTATTAAAAAAACCAAAGACTGTGGAAGATCCCACATACCCGAAAGGCACCGTCTCGCTATCATTGTCTCACTGTCCTTTATTCCGTGGAGTTGTGGCAACGCGTTATCCTTCCTAACAGGTGAATAACGCAGAGAGTTGGTCGTATATCTTGACCGCAGTTTCAGACCCACATTATCCCCACTGTCAAAGCAGCTGTTTGTTTTGTACACTCTTTGCTTTGCTTTTTGTCGCCTGTTAATTCACGGCCATTCATCAAGGCGACAAGTCTAAGCAGGGCTTCAGCTGCACAGGTGGGAGGAGAGGAAGGGAGAGGACAGGAGAGGGAGGGAGGGGGGGGAGGGAGTGTGTGTGTATGTGTTTGGGGGAGTGGGGAGAGGTATAGAAGTCAGGGGTTGAACGCAGACCCTTGGACAAATGTCCAGCTCCTCACCAGCTCACTGGCAATGAGAGAGTGACGTGGGATTCTCGCTGACAGAAACACACAGTCACTACACTTTACAGGGAATCCTGTGAATTCCCGGTCAATCGAAGACCCTTGACTCACTTTCACATCTCCTCCCCCCATGCCCCCCCCCCCAAACCCCCACTGCCCCCGTGGCCTCGCCCCCACCATAGCTGTGACCCTCCTACTGCCACCATCAACAGATGAACTTACTGCCGTTCAGGAGGAGGGATGGGGAGGAAGAGGGTGTGTGTGTGTGCGGGGGGAGGGTGGGGTGGTGGGTGGTGGTGGTGGAGAAGAGGAATGTCAAGCTCTCAAGGAATGTGTGGGGTGGAAGGAATGCCAGGCGCTCCACACGGCCCCAGCATCGGCCCCTTGGCCGTGTGCCCGCAGCGCCTGGCAAGCAGGAGCCACGCTGCACGCAAGTGTGGCCGCATTCCCGCTCAAACATAGACACACGCCCACTCGAACCAGGGACCAGCGCCCACATCAGCCTCCCACTGACAGACAAGACGGACAGACACAGACACAGACAGCCAGACACGCTTCACGCAACCTGACATCTCTTACGTCCTATCGAAACCGACCTGCCCACCTCCGCCAGTCGCCGTCTGCGGCCAATAATGCCAGGGAGTGGTCAGCCCTGGAGGGCATTCCACACCCAGACTGGTCCTGTCCTCAACAGGTTCTGCCACCCACCCACCTCTGTGTGGTGATCAATAATAAGAATAATCCTGGCATTTGATACAGCGCCTCGTCACGACGTCGAGGCGTCTCAAAGCGCTTCACAGGATACACTGTAAAGTGTAGTGACTGTAGATTTTGTGGGTGAAAGGCAGCAGACTTTGTGGGTGAAAGTCCCCACAAACAGTGGGGACTTTCACCCACAAACAGAGTGACCCCACGTTTTTTTGTGGAGGGGTTATTACCCCCGGAAAACCATCTTTCAATCGACTAACAGCCAATTTCCTACTTACTGCTCGGTAAACAGAGGCGTGTGGAGTAAGGAAACCTGCCCTAGGTTTCGGAGGTTTCGGCCCGCCCCAGCGACTGTGTATCCTGTGGGCGAGAGAGAAACTCGCTTCTCTTTTCAAACAGTGCCGTGAGATCTTTACAACTCAGCTGAACAGGCACAGACAGGACCTGGGTTTAACATGTTGATGTAGAACATGTACAAAAACTGAGCCGTTTGAGCCAAGGAAGAGTTAAAGCCTTGGCAACATATTGAACCTATGTGTATGTGTGTGTGTGTGTTTCCATCTGTCAGCAGCTGCTGCAAAAATCAACACTAATCAAATATCTTCTGGGAAAGGGAAGGACACAGGATGGTGCTGTTATTTCTCCTTCCATTGAGAGCCCATTACAGCCAGAGATGTTTTGCTCAGTTCTTGGCTTTTAAGCTGTCCACTTAAGGAAGGCAGGAAAAGCTGATTGCAATGAAGACAGATGAGATTTTGATCTGCATAGCAGCCAGACACGAGACCTGAAGCGGTAAAACTGATTATTAATAATAATAATAATCCTTGCATTTGATGTCGTGTCTTATCACATGGATGAGACGTCTTAAAGCGCTTCACAGAATATAGTATAAAGTGGATTGATGGCGTATTTCGTGGGTGAAATGCCGCAGCACGCAATAGTGTCCCACCAACAATTGTATTGAGTCAACCAATTTTTTTGGGTGGGATTATTACCCCCGGAAAGAAAGCTGCCAATCGACTAACAACCAGGTTCCTACTTACTGTTAGGTAAACAGAGGTGTGTGGGGTAAGGAAACTTGCCCAAGGTTTCGCCCTGCCCTGGAATCGAACCTGGGTCCTCTCGCCTGTGAGGCGAGGGCTCTAACCACATCGCTGCAGAACTCCACAATAATAATACTCCTTACACTTGTAGAAACTGAAAATTGTGAACCGACTCCAGATAGACCCAGACATCAAAACCAATCTGCGCTGGATCAACCCACTTTTAATTAGCATTTATGTCATGCGTGGGGATTTATCAGACAGGTAACTGATCCAGAGGTGCAGCTACATACCTCACAATTATCCCAAATTCCTCAAGCGAAGCTGTACCTGTAGTGAGTCCAGGAATTCTGCTGATAACATTGGGTACCGGCCTGGCTCAGTCGCTCGCACTCTCACCTCTGAGTCAGGCGTTTGTTAGTTCGAGGCTCTCATCGGGGCTTTGATCTCGTGAGATCTTTTCCACGTCTCTTCCC